AGTCGTACAAACTATTCCTCGAAGACTCGTTGATGCCAATGGACTTATGGACGCATGCTTCCGACGAAGAAACGGTTTCGGACATATCAGCCAGGAGACCATTGAGGCACGAAGAGCAGAACGCAGGAAAGGCTACGCGGAAGAAAGAGCAATTGCAAATGGGGAAATACTACCCAAGAGAGGTGGAACCTTCTTTTCCAAGAAGAAAACCAAGAGTGCAGAAAATTAAGAGACAACATTTACTGTGGCAGGCATATGTCCTAGGGAGTAATTGGGGAATGTATACCTAACATATGGTGTTTGGTGGGGTTGTGAGTTTTTCGAGGCGTCATTGGCTTTTTTTTCATTTGTGTGTGTGGGAAAAAGAGAATTTGGAACCTGGGCCCCTTTTCTTTGCGTTTTATTACGATGGTTATGAGGTAGCATTTATATGGGGGCATATACAAATATGGAGGGACTTTAGAAAGATTTTTTTGCGTTGGTACTACTGTATATTAGATTTGAACTTCTTGATAGGATTGTAGGGGGTGTTGGGATTGGACTGGGCTGGGCCGAGAAAGGGGGAGGGGGGTAAGAAGGATGATTTTGAAGGTATGGGGAGACAAGATAACTGTAGTAGGTAGCAAATAAAGATAGTGTGTGTGTTGGCATTGAAGTTGACTAGGAATATATGAATTTGATGGTGATTTTATGCTTCTTTAATCTACCCGGATGATCTGCTCATAAAATGGGATGACGCTCCGCTTGCCCTTAGGAAGTCACTGCCTTGGAGGTACAATTTTAGGATATACATAAAATACAAAACGTAGCTAGGTAGGTAGTACTCGATTTGACACAGTTTCATCATTCACTCACTCGCATATGCATGGGTACAAAGCAGAGGCATTGTCAGGGGTAACAATGCCGCGAAATTTCACATTGCTTATTTTCGGTTGCCCTGACAACATTTTACCCCAGATTTACATTTACCTAGCACATCAAATAATCTTCCCGCGACTTTTTAAACCTCCTTCATTGATCGGCAAAAGAAACAACACTTTTCCAAATTCTCCCAATCATGGAATCGCCGACTGCAATAAATTCAACATCTTCATTATTTGAAGTGTATTTACGATTAAGACCTCCTCCAATATCAACTCAGCAACTGTACCCCACGTTACCAATACCAGAGCGATTTCTTACAGTTGAAGAACCCACTGAAGAAGAACTTGAAGATGGAACGGCATCTCCGACCCACATTACATTGAATCCACCAAATGACAATAGACGCAGGGCAGTGGAGAGATTCGCCTTCACTCGGGTCTTTGAAGAAGAAAGTTCACAATTGGATGTATTTCAAGGAACGGGTGTGCTGTCTTTGGTAGAAGGTGTATTGGGACCAAATGGTGGAGAGGGTAGAGATGGATTACTTGCTACATTGGGTGTCACTGGCTCTGGAAAGGTTGATATCTTGGTTTGATCATGTACAAGTTGAGTATGTGCTAACGTATCTATCGCAGAGTCATACAATTCTTGGTTCTCGGAGTCAACGCGGACTCACACAACTTGCCCTCGATCTACTATTTCGTTCCATTGACAACAACATTCTCGATGTCAATTCGCACCCTGGATTACATGGTTCAATTGCAGCATCAGACCCATCAGAGGCCCAAGTTATGTCTGCGCAGATGTTTTTAGATACATACTACTTCGACCCAGCTTCATCTCGAGGGAGCTCCAGAGCCCCAACACCCCAGGTGGTACGCGTGCCCATTCCCTACCACCCAAGTCCAACCAAATTATATCCATATTTGCCCCCATTCCAGGCAACAGGAAGTCCTAAGAGCATCAGGATCGTAGTCAACCAAGATGAGAGTAAAACACCAGGATGTGCGCCAGTGCCAATTCCAGGAGAATCGACAGTATCGATGACTTCCTTTATTCCCTCATTTATGCAAGCTACTGCAACAGCAGCCAGGAAAATGATTATTGCTAAAACTCCTCAAAAGGGCGATTCTTACCAACCTCCGAGACGAACGATACCTACAAGACCATCGGCTTTGCCAAGCAGTCCGGATATCACAGGAATTGCGGTCGATGTCGATCATCATGCGGAGTATGCGATTTTGATCTCGATGTACGAAGTTTATAATGATAGGATATTCGATCTTCTAACGCCAGCGGCACTAAACAAATCTACAAAGGAATCTAGGAGACGGCCACTACTATTTAAACCTACGGAGCAATCACCCGAACGAAAAGTGGTTGCTGGACTCAGAAAGATTATTTGTGGTAGCATGAAAGATGCTCTCATGGTTTTGGAAGCTGGTCTCAATGAACGAAGAGTTGCAGGAACTAATTCTAACAGTACATCATCTCGGTCTCATGGCTTTTTCTGTGTCGAGGTAAAGAAGAGGAGAAGATCGAGAACGCCAGGCACTTGGGGAGGGAGTTCACTTACAGTGGTAGATTTGGCTGGAAGTGAAAGAGCTAGGGATGCCAAAACCGCTGGTGCTACATTAGCTGAGGCCGGAAAGATTAATGAGAGTTTGATGTATTTAGGGCAATGTTTGCAGATGCAATCAGATTTGGAGAACAACACAAAGGTACGTTGAATTCACTCTTTATCTCAATCTAGGACTTCAAGATCTAATCAAAAGAAAACAGCCAAATCTTGTTCCATTTCGCCAATGCAAACTCACAGAACTTCTTTTCTCAAATTCGTTCCCATCTCATGGCGCAAAACCTTCCACGGTCACCCAACATCATCGAAATCCTCAAAAAGCAATCATGATCGTTACGGCTGATCCATTGGGAGACTTTAATGCAACTTCGCAAATCCTACGGTACTCGGCTTTGGCGAAAGAGATCACGGTTCCAAGAATTCCATCAATCACGGCTACCATTCTCGGATCATCACAATCGTCTGATAGACATCCAAGTTACACCAGCCCTACCTCTCCTACTTTTCCTCGATACCGTGATGGTCCACATCAGACACCTACCGATACTGAACGGGAAACTATGGAGATTGCGGCATTAGAAATTGCACGCATGTCTGAGGAAATCGATGGTTTACGCGGTGAATTAGAACGCGAGTCAAGATTGAGAATGGAAAGTGAAGCACATCTTCAAAGTATGGAAGACAGAATGTTGGAACTAGAGATGGAAATTCGAGAAGAATGCTACGAGGAAATGGAAAGGAGAATCCAAGAAGAAGGTAGAAAGTGGATGATAAGATTAGAGGAGCATGGAGAGAGGGAGGAGGAATGGAGGGATAGGAAGGTAGAAGTCGTGGTTCGAGGTTTAGGTGCAGGCATCGCTGGATTGGCTAGAATGGCTGGGGATGAAAATAAAGAAAATCTGGACGGTGACCCAACGCTCGGACTCGAAATGGAAAATGCAAAGTTGTTGAGGGAAGTTGAGAGATTGAAGAGGGAGTTGAATAGCAGGAGCCCGACAAAACCTCGAAAGCCTTCAAATAGAATCCTGAAGGAGAGCCGAACACATGCTATGGATAAATCAGCATCGCCAATTCCAGATGACGCGCCTGAGAATGAGGGACTGGAATTGCGGGACAGTATGGCGAGATTGAAGGTTGAGGATGACGAGGTTGGAGTTGCCAGAAGTGCGAGTGCAAGATTAAGGATTAAAAAGAGAGATGTAGGTCCAGGAAGCCCGACTAAGAGAGTTAGGAAACTGGCGCCGAGGAAGTGGGATTTTGCTGATGACGATGATTTTTAATTGCGGTCGGAGTAAATGGGATAGACAGTACACGGAGGACTATGGCCTCCTTGTGTGGGATGGTTTGTACTATCAGTCAATCAATCAACGGCGTTTTCTCTTTGAAGGGGATCAACGAATCTGGATAGCATGTCCTGGGCTGGACTGGGTTGGGGTTGGGTCCGAATGGCAGTATTGGATTGGATGCATGGGACTGGATGGGGACTGGAATGCGTAGAATGGAATAATCCTACTGGCCAAAATTGTTTTCGATACCTGTCTGGGATTTATTTTTGGTACTTACTTTTTGTGTAATTTGATAGCTAATTCTTATTCGAATATGATTCTTTTTGAGATGATCGTTATTTTGAGAGGACTTGGTGTGAGGTAAAATTGGGTTGGTAATTTTATGCTCGTGAAATTGTGGTCTACCCAATTCAATTCAAGGTCCTGAGGGTAAATCAAAAAGGAATATGGGGCATAGCTGTAATGGCCCGTGATAGTCCAGGTGGATGAATAAGAGTATGAGAAATCAATGGGAAGCTGAAATCAGGACATGTTGGGTGTCTGTGGATGATCTTAGTAAAGAGCTGGAGGGATGGGGGCAAGCTGGATCTCCATGCACAAGTGATCCTCCTTCAAGATTAGGATAGAAAATGTGTACAATGAGTTGATGGGAAGGGGGTAAAAGTTTTACACTCCAACTTTCAGAGCGGTTTGGGAAAGATCTAAGGTTAACAAATATGCTGGGCCAGGTTGGTGGTGGCCTATGGAGACAGTAGGAGGTGAGTTTTACATACTGCTACCACATCAGGCAACCCCTTATGAACACATTGCGGAATTAGACTCAACAATCTGATTGTCTTCTCTTCCACATTCTGCATCGCTCCAATTCTTGGAATTGCGGGACTTTAGATTGTCCGCGTTGTTTGCGTTGTCCGAAAGCATATCTGATTTCTAATTGATTTCAAATCAAATCAAATCAAATGCTCGTTTTGGGGGGGGGATCGCGAGGCCCTCTATAAATTTCGTTGATTTTCCTTTTCAAATCTGTTCACATACAAAGATCAGTACCTCAATTACGAACACTTTTGAAAGAAATTTCTGAAATTTTCATTAAGGTTAGTCCTAGAATTGATATATTCCCAGTTACTCGTTTTCGGACCAACTCACTTCGATATCTTCAGTCTGAGAATAAAATAGCCAGTTTAGTAAGTTCGGTTAAACTTTCGCGCAGACCACTAGGTAGCTCTAACGGAACAAGTAAAATTAAGATTTCTCAATCCAACGCACCAAAGATGTCTTCGGCGCTCAAAAATGTCACCGTAGTTGGGGCAGCCGGTAAGTTGGGGACCTCGATCCTCGCTAATTTTGACGCCGACCCCAACTTCAATGTTTCTATCCTCTCTCGCAAGTCGTCTAAATCCGTCTTCCCAGCTCATCTCGTTGTTCACCGGGTCAGTGACGAGTATCCAGAACTTTTGGAAGCTTTGAAAGGACAAGATGTGGTCATTTCGACTATATCAAAGGCTGCTGCTGATGTGCAGCAAAAGGCGATTATAGATTCGGCTATCAAAGCCGGTGTGAAACGTTTTGTACCATCTGAGTTTGGAAGCGATACAAGAAATGAAAAGGCTATGAAAATCTTCCCGTTTTTTAAGCATAAGCTGAACACGGTGGAATATTTGAAGAGTAAAGAAAGGGAAGGATTGACTTGGTCTGCGTTTGTCACTGGGCCACCATTTGAACTATATGTGGGAGATAAACTGCATCCCATCCTTTTCGCAAACTGGAACTGATTAATTTGGACAATACGGCTGTGAAACTTACTATGGGCTTCGACTTGAAAGAACAAAAAGCTATCATATACAACGAAGGTAAAGATGCCTATTCAACCACGACAACGGCCTCCGTTGGCACCGCTCTCAAATACGCACTACTTTATCCAGAAGAAACCGTCAATAAGTATCTCTTTATCTCCAGTTTTCATGTTTCGCAAAATCAAATTCTCGCTTCTCTTGAAAAGGCGACAGATAAAAAGTGGGATGTTGCGTATGTTGATGCAGAAGAGAAGAAGAAGATTGGAATTGAGACGATGAAAAAGGGAGATTTTAGTGGCGCGATAGGGTCGATTAGATATGTTAATTCTGTGAAAGGATATGGTGGTGATTATACAGAGTATGAGGAGATGTCGAATAAGTTGCTAGGGGTGCAGGGAGAAGATTTGGATAAGGTTGTGAGGGGAATTGTGGAGGGTTGAACCTGAGTGGGATAGGAGGATGGAGTTTGGATTGTAGGATAGTCTTCAATTGATTGAGCTCAAGAAGAGAAGTGACGAATGTAAATGAATGGGCTGAGACCATGAAAGAGTAGCCGATAATCCTTTTTTCCTTCTATGAAGCATGACAGCCTCACCTTGCCACTATCCCTTGATGATTGATGTTACACCTATAGAGCTACTTAGCTAAGCTTGTTACGAGTGATAGGTAACCAAGAGGTGGTGAGATTGATGAGCTAAGCGGAAGGACTACCTGCAGGCACCAACATGTAACGAAAAGGCATGAAGTTCTAGACCAGCTGGTATAGTGTGACCAATGATCTCTTATTTGCTATCATGGTTGACGACATTATGGATTTTGTGGTAAGATGTCTGTTACACTAATAACCAACGAGGCCTTCACTCTTTCAAATTATGACACCAATCCACACAGTAATGGCTTGAATTGACTTCTTCAGCGGATGATTATAGCCATGCATTGATTTTTGACAATCAATATGTGTAAGGATAATGAAGAATGGGTAAAGTGACAGAGAGACATCAGACACGGGCCCCCTTGCGAAAGTCTACTATGTCTGCAGTGACCAGAATCATTTGATTATTGATAGATACATGCAGATCAAGCAACGGCAAAATGCAACACAACTCGGGAAACTTTCCTCAAAAAGTCGTGGCCACAGGTGACTAATAACGGGGCATATCCATTGCGGAGTCAAGGAGCGACTATCTGAGCCTTGGAATCTATTCCTGGAATTCATTCATGATACCGGCACTCGTTATTGGCCTCGCTTTCCTCGGTACATGACAGTCGACGAAGATGAGGAATCATGTTTCCATGTGACCTGTGGGCAGGGCAATAAGTATCCTTGAGAGCGGACGTAGTCAATCCTTGCCTTTAATTCTATCGTCGTACTCGGCTACGATTAGCTTTAGATGGTGCCCCGCTACCCCACGGGAATAATATATAAATGGGGAGCTAAGTGTTACCCCGCACCACTGCGGATTTACGTCCGCGGTGATCTCGTTACTTCTTCAAGTCTTAGAGTTGATTAATGCCGTGATTTTGTAGTGGTGTTGTTTCAGATTAGTTCTTCATGTTGGCAATATACTAATCATCTTCAATCCTTAACTCCTTAGCATGCGCGGAAAGTTGTGAAGTGAATCCCCATTTATCCGATCGAGTTTACTTTACTCCTCAAATGGCTGGGATTTCAGAAGCTGAGCCCATCTGTCCGAGGATGCTTTGCTCCTCAAATGGCTTGAAGATCTGAGCTGTGGGTACTAGTGCATATAAATTGAGACATTCGACGTGCCATCAAAGACGGAATACAACACTGTCATGTACCCTCTATTCCAAATCAGAACCTTGTATCTTACATTATCAGCTTCTATCTCTTGAGTTTGATAAGCAACAGCCACTTCATGACACCCCTTCAGATTTTCATACATAAATACCGAGGTCACCTTCCATCTTGATTCTCCTGATAGCATTTTTCTCAATAGCAAGCACGTAAGCAATTGATCATGGGCTCATTACAGATTGAAGAAGTAGATGTGCTACTAGTGGGAGCTGGATTTGGCTCTTTTACTATGCTGAATAAGTAGGTCCAACCCCGATATCGAATGCCCAGTTACTGATAAGTCAATAAGGCTTCGGAAGCAAGGACTCAATTGTAAGATTTACGAGAAAGGTTCGAAGAGTGGAGGTATCTGGTACTGGAATTGTTATGTATGTTTCTGGGCATGGTATATAGCTCTGGAGCTAATATGCAATAGCCTGGCGCTCGAGTCGATTCTGATGCCCCAATTTATCAATTATTCGACAAAGAGTTATGGGAGGACTTTACATTCAAAGAGAAATTTCCCGGTGGCAGCGAGATTCGTCGATACTTTGAACACGTTGAAAAGAAATGGGATGTTCGGAAAGACCTTGAGTTCGACAAGCATGTCGACGGAGCTACCTTCGACAAACAACGCAATCAATGGCTTGTGGAATGCTCAGATGGCTCCGAGATTTATTGCCGATGGTTTATACCCTGTATAGGATTTGCATCTCGTCGTTTCACTCCCCCATTTAACGGACTTAGTAATTTCAAAGGGGACATATATCATACAGCGACATGGCCTCAACATGGTGTTAACCTAAAGAACAAACGAGTTGGTCAAATCGGTACTGGAGCGACTGGTATCCAGGTGATACAAACCATTGGACCCGTTGTTAATCATCTTACCGTCTACCAACGAACACCCAACTACGCCTTACCCATGAATCAAGGACTTCTTGACCCAGAAGAAGAGGCCAGAAAGAAGGCCGAGGGCAAGTATGAAGAAGAATTTGAGAAAACACGACATACATTCGCTGGTTTCCCATATACCTTTTTAGAAAAAAACACCTTCGATGATACGCCAGAAGAACGTGAAGCTACCTTCCATGACCTACTGATCAAAAAGGGCGGTTTTCGTTTCTGGCTTAACAATTACAAAGACATACTTTTTGAGCAAGATGCCAATAACGAAGCCTACAACTTTTGGCGCAAATCAGTGCTCAAAAGAATTCCCGACCCCAAAAAACAGAAGCTCTTGGCACCAGAGATTCCACCTCATCCATGGGGAACCAAACGCCCTTCTCTAGAACAAAATATTTATGAAGTTTTCTCTCTGCCACACATTGACATTATCGACATAAACGAATCGCCCATCTTAGAAGTCAGCGAAAAGGGAATCAAAACCAAAGAAGGAGAAGTAGAATTCGACGTTTTAATTCTCGCCACAGGTTTCGACTCCTGTACTGGATCGCTGGCTCAACTCAATATTCAAGGCATAGATGGTAGTACCATTGCCCAGAAATGGAAAGATGGAACACGTACATCTATGGGTATTGCAATGAACAACTTTCCCAACATGTTCTTCCTCTACGGGCCTCAAGCGCCTACTGCCTTCTCGAACGGACCGAGCTGTACCCAATTCCAAGCGGAGTACCTTGCGGACACGATAAAGGGATTACACGAGAAAAATTTAACTTACTTTGAGGCAAGGATTGAAGCGGAGGAGGATTGGAATAGGAGGATGACTGAAGCTTGGAATAAATCTTTGTTTCCGCTGGCAAAAAGCTGGTATCAGGGAGCAAATATTCCTGGAAGGAAGGTTGAGCCGCTCAACTGGTAAGTTTTTCTCCCACATTTTTCTCCTTCCCTTTGTAGATGTTAACATTACCATAGGGCCGGCGGTATGCCAGAGTACACAGCAACATTGGCGAGAAGTAATGAGAATGACTACCAGGGTTGGATCGCAGCATAGCACCTAGTATTCACTTTTGCGCAATCGGACGTGTGGGCACTCACCTGAGAGGTGTAACAAATGGACGGTAGGACGCATAATCAATCTTTTGTCATAGTAATTATTTTTTCGGGCTCCCTTTTTGAGAACTTATTACTTGCCCTTCATCAGGAACAAATTCTCTTTCATAATATGCGTGTATTTGTGTATCAGAACCCCATTCCCGAGTTCATTTTCCTTTCTCTCGCCTGATAGTTACTCGTTTTTATAGAATTGTTCGCTCTGCATCTACTCCTTTAGACCACTAGCGGGTATACCAGAATCATGGAATACCTACTTGTGTGAGACGACACATCTATTCTTCAGTCAAAACCCCCAGATGACGAGGTCAGTATACTTGATCAGCATGAATGATATGTACAGATTTCTCATTTAAGAATGCGACTTCAGGTTTTGATTCCTAAAAAGAAACTGTTCCACGCTGCATCAATGCTCATAATGTTACAGAACAGTGATGTCCTATGGAGCACCTCCATCGAATCCAGATCTTCTTTCGTTATGTATGGTTTTTCTATGAGGATAACAGTCTTTTTCGGGCCGCGCTTGGCTTTGAGCGCTTTAGAAGCACTGAGTATCCCTACATATACTTTATATCAAGATTTGGCATTCATTTGAGTGACTTTACGCTTGATGAGAGACAGCCTCTGCGCCCGCTGAAAAGGCGCCACGATCCTTTCACATAGGCTACGGCATGGCCAAGGTTTGGAAGCTTGATGCACGTTGTTCGCAATTTTCAGTTCGCACGGCTTGAGAAACATTCGGCGCACTTCGCTCTTCGATCAAACCAATGTTAATACTGAAGACGGTCAGTAAGTAGTTGTTGATGGTTGAATCAGATAAGCACGTGATGATACCCCGCGTGCATGTGACTACATTGTAAGGCCAGGCTTTATCGGGACAGCGAAGACGGGAAATTCAGCCTATGATAGGCATCACAAAATTGTTACACATAACTGAGGCTGAGCGGCATTGAGTATGACGAATCAAATGGAAAAGACATTTTGATCCCTACCATTTGAACCTCAATTGGACTGACCGAGTATCACGTGTCGTACACATTGGTTGCCTGCCAAGGAAATGTTTGGCTGCAGTGTGTCAATGGATAAATAACCGATTTCCCCACTATGTGCACGTCCCTACTACGTGCACGACTTTGGAAATATCAACATTATGGCTTCAAACATCGATGATATGCCTTTAGAGGCTCGTATAGAGCTTGCATTAGATCATTTGAAAGGGGTTCAAGCTCCTAAATACACCCAGACAGCTAATTTCTTCAAAATTGATCGATCCACGCTCTCCCGGCGGCATAGAGGTAAAACCACCTCGAGAAAACAGTTCCTCTCCGATACGAAACAAGCGCTTTCTAGTGATCAGGAGGAGGTTTTAATTGATCAAATCAACAAGCTGACACAGAGATCTATCCCTCCTACAAGCCGCATAGTCAGAAACCTTGCAGAAGAGATCCTAGGCAGAGAGGTGGGAAAGAACTGGACTAGCAATTTTGTCAAGAGGCATTCAACACGTCTTAAAAGTCGGTATCTCCGTTGCATTGATAATTTGCGTGTGAAAGCCGATAATGTTGCTATATTTGATTACTTTTATGATCTGGTTTGAGCTATTTTCTATTGTTGTTGATCTTTATTACCTAAAACGCTCTTGCTAATACCCCTCTTTTTTTAATTTAGTTGATAAAAGTGACCATAAAATACGATATACGGCCGAGAGATATATACAATTGGGACGAGAAGGGCTTTATGATCGGTATGGGGAGGACTATGAAGAGGATAATGAGTGCTAGCGCCTATAATAGAGGCAGAGTGACAAAAGCTAGGCAAGATGGATCAAGAGAGTTTATTACTCTACTGGCAGCTATATGTGCTGATGGGACAGCTCTCCCTCCCGCTCTTATTTATAAAGGAGACTCAGGGGATCTACAAAATACATGGGTTCAGGATGTAGGGGAGAAGGATAAAGCCTATTTTGGAGCCTCAAGCAATGGGTGGTCGTCGAATGCTTTTGGCCTATATTGGCTTATAAACGTATTCGACCCTGCTACACGTCGAAAAGCAGGTGGAAGATATCGTCTACTTATTGTCGATGGTCACTCTAGTCATGTCAATATGGAATTCCTTTCAAAATGCGATGAATTAAAGATTATTGTCTTAATTCTCCCCCCTCATTCTACACATCGACTACAGCCTCTCGACGTTGGAACCTTCGGTGCCCTTTCAACGAATTACAGTACATTATTGAATGATTTGATGCACAATAGCGGGGGAATTGTTGGTATGACAAAGCGCATGTTTTGGGGCATATTTAAAAAGGCTTGGGAGCTCACTTGTACGAGGCATAATATCTTACGATCCTTCGAAAAAACGGGCATATATCCTATGAATAGGAGTCTTACGATCGACTGTATTGCTCCGGAAGCTCCTTCTACGCCACCTACATCATTTAAAACTCGCAGGGATGCTCTTGCTACACCGTATACGTCAAAAGCGATGCGTAGAATGAAATTAGAATTTCGTCGCGCTCCCACCCATGAGATCACTTTAAAGCTTTTTAAGGCTGCAACTACATTAGGAGCTGAAGCTTCTATACAGGGGCATAGATCTAAAGGTTTAGAAGAGGCTCTAAAGCTTGAAAAAAGGAAAAGAGCTCGTTCAAAGCGTTTAAATCTCATTGGAGAGGAGGGGAATGGTGCGTTTTTATGGTCACCCTCTGCTATTATTAAAGCTAGAGCGTATCAAGAAGATAAAGCACTTAAAGAGGAGCAAGAGAAGGAAGCTAAGCTTCAAATAAAAGCTGAAAAGAAAGCTGAGAAGGAACGGAAGGAGATTGAGACGAAAGAGAGAGTATTGCAGAGGGAGGTTGATCGTCAGATTGCACGTGATGCGAAAGAGGAGGTTAAAAAGACTCTAAAATCAACGAAATCTCCAATCAAAAGAGATAAAAAGTTCCCCAAAGCTTCTTCTACTATAGATCTAACATCAACAAAGACTATAGAGCTCTCTGATGCTGTAGAGGCTAATAATTCGAAGGAGAAGGAGGAGGAGGTCATATTGCGATCTAGTAGAGGGCGAGCACTACGAGTTCCATCGAAATTCAAAATCTGAAGATTTTATTATGTTTTTAGATAGTATTATATCTTGTCATTTATCAATTAAATTGCTAGCTCTTTATCTTATAAATTGGAATTGTTATTAATTTTTAAAGTGATTCAAAATGGGTGATCAAGATCGTGCATATAGCAGGGACGTGCACGTAGTAGGGAAATCGGTTATATATATTGAGGCCTCTTCGCGCCCTCGCGACCTTTTTTTCCTTTCCTTACCACACCATTCGGGTCGACTACCAACACTCAAGAATCACATTACTGTCACTTAGTACAATTTTGAGATTTCTTCCGAGACCCTGTCAATCTTTCGTTTTGTGTGTCAATTCAATCACCTTTCTTTCCCTACCCTCACATCCAAATACTGATTTCGACACTCATTCAATTACCCTCCAAGTCCATATATCGATCAATTCACAATACACCCGAAGCAGCCATGTTCAAGCGTTCCCATAGATCGAATGATCGTGTGGAAAAGAACATTAAATTGAAGAAATCATATAGGGATCCCGCAAAATTGTCGAAATTGCAGAAGTCGTTCGATCAAAGCTCGCAAGACTCACCCAACGCGATGTAAGACAGGCTGATCATGTTGTTGAATACGAATTCTGGCTTGAGTTGAATTTCAACTGACGGGATATCACTATAGTAGCTTGACCTCACCAATTGTAACATTTACAGTTGGTAAGGAAGGACGACTGTTTGCGGCGCATGAAGATGTACTCTCCTTGTCTCCATACTTTGCGACGGCAATGAGAGGACAATTCTTCGAGGCGCAGAGTAAGAGGATCACTTTACCCGATGAAGAACCTGAAATCTTCTCCTGTGTTCTCGAATACCTCTACGTATGTCTACCGATGACGTAAAATGCACAGTGGTCATCTCGGTGATACTGACAAATTTACAGAAGGGTGACTATTATCCACGTTTGATTCACAACAAACGCCGAAACTCTTGGGAGCTTGAGGATGCAAACCATTCACCCAACCCCGAAAATATAGGTGGCCGCGGGTCGGTAGAGGCTACAAGTTATATATCCAGCGTGGGAGAACACCTTCTAAAGGATACTGTCATATACTGCGCTGCGGAGAAATATGGTCTCGAGGAACTCAAACGTGTTGCTCTTCGGAAGCAAGGCTTACAGAGTGGAATCGAGGTTGCTACAATTCTTCGCAGTGCTCGGTATGCTTATGACAACACGCCAGATACGGACTCTAAACTACGCGCTCATTATCTTGCCTTGATTATCAGATGTCGTAAGACATTTAAGAGGAGCGGAACCATGCAGACAGAAATGGAGAGTGGCGGTAAACTTTTTTTTGACCTTTTCGTGGCATTATGCAATCATGTGGATGACATTGTGGATATTGGGTCAGCCCTTTCCTCCCTTTTCCATGAACTACTGACCTACTCTCTCACAGGCTTACTGACTTCTAAGTTAGAAATTCCAAATCTCCAAAAACCATCTGAAGTGCTGTATATTCCATGCTAGGTATTTCGGCACGGCGTCAGTTGTTTTTGAGATTGATCATATATCTCCATCAAATTTGGTACCCGTTTCGGAAATTTTTGCGATGCTTGCACCAAATTCCTCCGCTTCGACACTGAGGTTGGCCACCTTTTTGATGATACACGAGATTAATTTTCTATCCTTTTCTCAGTCATACCCCTTGCTATCTCGCTTCGATGTTGTTCTTTTTAGCGGAAGGAACTCGCGTTTGCTTTTTCTTTGCTTTCTGTACTGTTTTGCTATCAAACCTCACAAATTGCTTAACTTACTCTGTGGGTATGTTACTCGTCGCTATTGGAATTGAAAAGGAAATGGTATAGATGGATCTACTGGTCGGGCGACTTCTTCGCACCACTTTTTATTATTTCTGTTGGGATGCATGGAGATGCTGTAGCTTTAGTTGTGTGCATGATCTTGATGATTGTGTATGGGCGGTCCCTAGTGGATGCGCCAGCCTAGGCCCTCGTCAGGGCAATATAATGAGAGATTTGGCCACCTCAATCATAACCTCTAAATGCGTGAAGTAATTGCTTCAAATTCTATTAGTCCTGCCTTTGCTATGCTATATTCTTACAAAGCTTGCAATCATTTTCATCTCGGTGGGAGGTATGATGTATTCACATTATCTTAACTCAGAGTGTATACATGGAACTAGTAAAAGAGTATCGGGGCACAATCCACACCGTCAACAATTTGACTAAGTTCGATTTAAAAGAATGTACCTAAGCTCAAGCAAACTGACCATGCATTAGAATGATTTTGATGAATTTTGTTTTTGGCTATATAATCCGAAGTCATATAATCGAGAGTCATGAAGCCAAGAATAACGTCAGCGAGAAAGGAGGAGGAAATACACGTAGCGCGCTCTCTCGCCCCGAGACGGCCCCTCGAGTTTCAGGCTCTGTGTGCATTGCACACGCCATATGGATGGAATATTGATACCATCGAGCCATCCTAGGCCGAACACGACGAAGGCCCAGTATAGCCATGTGCAAGTCCACTTACATCACCAATCTGCCAATCGGAAGGGCGCCATCAAGGTGGTAGATTATGGCCCGAACATTAACCTTTTCTATGCATCCTGGAATGTCGGACCTTCATGCGACGAGAGGCTGAACTGTCAACAACATGACGTCAATGTCAATTATGTCGTATATATACCTACACATCTAGCATTTCATTGATGATAGTTCTGCTTCGTGCAACAGATAATATAGTGATTGTTAAATCCCCTTCTGACACATACGATCATAGACTGAAGAGAATTGGGCATCCCGTCCGCTCTGCCATACACAAGCTTCAGATCGGTGAATTAGTAGTTGGGTGGGTGACCACCAGCGAATCCCCACTGTTGTATGTTTTCACTTGTCATTTTTTTAATTTTTGCCCCTCTCTAGAAGGGTAGCTACATCATGTCCCAAGCGCAGACCATTCACCAAAGTCTCTCTACCGAGGTCCACCTTTCCGTACTCAGGCCAGAGGCAGTATCATCATCACAAAACATACCATCTTGCACCCTATCTGACCCATCGTCATCTCCTCTTGAATCAACATCGAATTTTGCCCTGATCCTGAGAATTACATCATCAATCCTTGCTTTTTTCACCGCCGGTCTCAATGATGGTAGTCTCGGTTCTCTCATCCCTTACATATTAGACACATATTCACTTTCCACATCATCCATCGCTCTTCTATATCTCTCCTGCTTTTTCGGCTGGGTATTTGCGGCAATTAGTATTCCCTTTCTCCAAACCCATCTACGTCTGGGTATTGGTGGGATACTACTTCTAGGTGCAAGTTTGCAACTTTTGACTCAATTCATAAGAATCTGGGGATCTCCATGGCCATTATTCGTAGTGAGCTTTGGCCTGGCGGCACTAGGTCAAGCATACCAAGATGCTCAAGCAAATGCTTATATAGCCCAGGTTGGCGACAAGGCACATCGGTGGCTGGGTGTGATACACGCGGCGTATAGTGTGGGGTGTTTGCTTGGTCCATTGGCTGTAACTGGCATTGCAACTGCCAAGCCGGTGCATTGGATGGAGAGTTATGGGGCTTTGGCTGGAGTTGCAGGCTTGAATGTTTGTGTGGTGGCTTGGGCCTTTGCAAGAGATATATTGATCAAAACGCGGCATGATCAGGATAGTGAAGAACCAGGTGAACAGAGTGACCATGCAAGAAGAGGAAATGCAATGTGGAGAGATATCGGGGAAGTGCTGAGAGACAAGAGTGTCTGGATTATCAGTTTTTTCTTTTTCTTTCATTTGGGTAGCGTCATAACCATCGGCGGTTGGCTAGTGACCTACCTTCTTACTCTCGCGCCCAATTCAGGAATCCAAGCCCCATCGATTGGCTACCTTCCCACTCTCTTCTACGCAGGAAATGCACTCGGTCGTCTCTTCCTCATCGAACCTACTCATCGATTCGGTGAGAAGCCAATGATCCTCCTCTATTCCTTCCTATGCATTATTCTACAGATAATTAGCTGGAGACTCTCTAGTCTAATTGGCAGTATCGTCATCGTATGTTTACTCGGGTTCCTTCTGGGACCATTTTTCCCAGCAGCAATTACACATACCAAGCTACTTCTTCCTTCGAGAATCATTACACCTGCCTTGAGTATAATTTTTGTGATTGCTCAAGCCGGTGGAAATATATTCCCAGCTGTGACTGGTATTTTGGCTGCGAATTTGGACGGTGGGGACGGGAGAGGAGCTAGAGTTTTGCAACCAGTCGTTTTAGGGTTGCTGGGGGGTATGATGGGGGCTTGGTGGTTTGTTCCGGGGTTTGTAAGGAGGAGTGAGTAGTCTGGTATGATGCCAGGGTGGTATCGTCGTTTGGATTGCTATGGAAGATAATGAACTTATAACGATGTAAGATTGCGGATGACCTATGGCACTTTCTAGCCTCGAATGTCCCCAATTAGAGCTAGCAATAAATCGACTTGTCACGAAGCTCAAATCACTATGACCTATAATCCGATTTTTGCTGGCTTCTTATCACATGAATTGGGGGCTGATGCTATTCTGCGCTGTAAGATTGAGGCTTATCCCGACCCCTGCACTCGGTGAAGTCAGCTTTCTTATAGATTTCCTTCAACGCTTGTGACCTTTACAGTTTCGACGTCAAATAAAAGTCATTTCTTCGCGCATGGAATTCTCGTACTCTGAGTTTTAGCTGCAAAATTTGCTCGAACGAATCGAGTAACATGGGTCCTAAAATGCCGGACAGTGTTGCAGAAATTGACAACCCATGTTATGATTATTTCTATGCACACAACAACCAGATTAATTATTTGGAAATTCTACAATGTCCTTCTCAGCCTGTTCGAAGATTGGAGGGTGAATTAAAAGATGATATATCTCTAGAACACTGGCTGGCAAAGGTTGGCTAACTTATCAGTCCAAATTCTTTGAGAGCGACGAATAGGGTTATGTACTGACTCGCACTAGGATCTAACTGCCGATGGTAATCAACCTGAAAGTGGTGTCCGCATTCTGTATGTACAGTTCTCATTTGAATTTTTTATTGTCCAGATCTTTCAAGACTTGTTCGATTGCCCGGACTTCGGTGTGATATAAACGGATTATTGAAGTTTCTTACCAGGTGCACTTCTCAGATCATCTTGCTGTTGTCTCTGTTTTGGATGATTGAACACTCCTTAAATCAAAGATTTTGCAGTCGGGACTATTGACAGCACAGTCTTGCTTGAGTCTGGTGGCTAATTCGTGTAGCACTGGCAAAGGCTGGAGCAACGCAAATGCTACATCACCGGACGATTGGTCACCAGCTTTGCTCTTCAGCAAATGTTCCTATTCCACGATATTATCTGCTTCGTCCTTCAATATTCCAAGCAACCTCCTCCGAATCCACGATAGTTTGATCACTCGATCCTTCAAAACTTCTACAGGCTGTAAAAACGAAACAACCCTAACTTTCAAGCTCGGATCTTCCATGAACAATTGGGATCTCCTTACCTTGACTAAAAGCTATAGCACTGGCATAACCACTGGAATTTTTCTTGTGCATGAGGACAGAGATATTGTTCCTTTACCATTCAACGTCGATTCCTATCTGGGAGTTGATCAACCTTGGTGTATCGCTCGGCTATTCATACGCCATAAACTAGAGCGATTAGATGCCAGACTCTACAATACGAGTGTTGATATCGACGCAATCGAAAGTGCTACTGATAAACACAATAGATGGGCTGACACCGACAAAATACAAAATTCCAACAATCAAGATGATGAAAACGAAGTTTCCTTGATAGATCCATTAAACATAGATTTCATGGGTACGACTACTGAATTGAGCAAAGCAGAGCACATTGTCGCTGGAAATTCAGTTTGTATCAGAGGATTACTGTTAGCAACAAAAGTGCTAGATGAGCTGGATCAGGAAAGGAAGCAGACGACTGAAGAATTGAGGGATCACTGTGAGCATATGCTTTTAAAGATTGAGTATCTACAGATGAGAATGGATGCTTTACTATCTGTCGCGAGTTTCTTGAATGATCCGCCATCGTCTAGTCCAGCTATTTACCTTTGGTTTAAAGATTCAACAATTCCAAGCAGAAGCCTCTGCTCGTCGTGCCGTATTCTTGACGAAAGCTTCAACCGACCTCGCAAAAGCGAGTAGGAAGGATAGCGAAGTCATAAAAACCATAGCTATAGACACAAAATGAGACTCAAAGGCCATGAAAACAATCGCTATTCTAGGAATGGTTTTCCTGCCCGGAACTTTCATCGCAGTGCGTCACTCGTACTCCTCACTTCACTGTTGCTAACTTTCAATAAAGTCAATCTTTGCAATGCCAGTGTTCACTTGGACACCTGAAGGCTCCATTATAATACAAGAAGACTTTGGATATTACTGGGCTGTCACAGTTCCGTTGACATTGATAATATTGGTGGCCTGGGGTGTAAGCATGGTGATTCCACATCGCCACAAAGGGGTATTAAGCGATGATATTGAACTGGAGAGTCTTAGCCACATCTCAATTAACAAAAGACCGACAAATAATATACTCAGACCTTCAAATTCATTAAGTTGGAGTCGAGAAATTTCAATTGACGGCGCGAGATCACAAATTTTTTTCACGCCATAGTCAAAGATCCTCGAATCACGGAGCCAGACTTTCTGCCCGGAGTTTGAGGAATTCTGCGAGCAGTTGACGAATTCTGAACGATAACCGAAGCAGATCGCGAGAACCGGTGAGAGCATCTGGCGTAGGTCAATTGACATCGGATGATAGCCATAGAATTATTTCACACAATCCGCAACAATGAATTGGAGGGCAGAAGGCCACTTGGTGGATATTGACTTCTCAGTGAATATAATTAGCTCTAATGGGGGGTTTCAGTCTTCCAGATCAGATTCGATAATCAAACGTTCCTTCAGATTTGAAACCTAGAAAATGTAGGTTCTTGTGTGATTTGTAACGTACAAAGCGTGCTTTTTATGTTTTTATTCCTCTCCGCTCTCGCGAATTTGCCCCTTCATCTGAACCGAAAGGGTTCCGCGCACTGCTGGACGACCATCATTAAACATGGCCATCGGCCGAGAAGTTCGAATGATAGTCCACACCTCCTGATTGCACTTGCAAAGGTACTGGGAGTTATGGTCTGATATATCTGTCCAATAAACCAATACCGCATCTCGAGAGTAACTCCAAAGAATTCATCCCGGTGGAGACACTAATATTGTTATTCACTAAACATTGTGGGCCAAGACGGCTTTGATAATTCTTTATATCCTTGATACTTTCGATTTTCAATACATTCAATTCGATTCAGCCGACAATAACAAAAAAGATCAACTTTTGTAACACAATACACCTCCTTGCTCCGATTATGGAAAGAGAATATTCGCTACTATTTCATCAATTGATTCTGTTCCTGACTTATCCGTCGAGATTATTGCGGGGCTTATCCACCCCTCTATGAATTTAGATGATTTTTAGCGTCTAATTGTGCTAAAGCCGTAAGAAACCGAACTGATAGCTAGAGCTTCAAACATATAATTGTCCGTTGTTCGGCGCATCGATGTTCTTATCATATAACAAATAAACGTGATAACATCGATTGTTCTTCTTTTCGAGGTAGGCATATCCTCTCATTATACTTTATCTTCTTTCTTTGTTTCTTTGGTTCGCAAAGTCTTCATTCATCAATCATGCTCGCAAGAAATATCAAAAGCTCTAGAAGCTTTCAGACAATTAATCGTTGTTCTTCGATTGCTTCTTACAAATGTGAAGCTTCAATACGTCTACCCCGCACCAGCACATTGGGTAGCGCCATCACATCAAGTACAGGAAATAGATGCAACATGGCCACAATTGCAAGCTTTAAAATTCCAAAGGTGGTGAACGAGCCAAATGTAAGTTCTGTCCAGAAAATAGAAGTTCTAGTTTCGTTTCAGAAGAGCAACGGGAATGCTAATGCATGATATAGCATCATTATGCTAAGGGATCCGCACAACGCGATGGACTTTATAAGGCATTGGAGAGATTGGAAAGCAAGGCTCCTTTGGAAGTCCCTTTGGTAGTCGGAGGTAAAGAGGTCAGTCTTGGTCGTTTTTCACAGTCTAGTAAATGAAGCTAACAATAATTACAGATTAAAACCTCTTCCGTCTCCAACCAGCTCAACCCAGCCGATCATTCCTCAAAAGTTGCAACCTATTCAAATGCCTCCCCATCCGATGTTTCCTCCGCAATCGATGCTGCCCTCGCCGCAAAACCCGAGTGGGAATCTCTTCCTTTTGCAGACCGAGCCGCTATATTCCTAAAGGCCGCAGATCTTATCTCTGGCAAATATAGATATGAAATTATGGCTGCTACAATGCTGGGACAAGGAAAGAATGCTTGGCAAGCTGAGATCGATTCTGCTGCAGAGTTGGCAGATTTCCTCAGATTCAACGTTCAATATGCCGAAGAATTGTATGCGCAACAACCCGAACATCATTCACCTGGTGTCTGGAATAGACTCGAGTACAGACCTTTGGAGGGATTCGTCTACGCTGTTACTCCATTCAATTTCACCGCAATTGCGGGTAACTTGCCAGGTGCACCAGCTTTGATGGGAAATGTTGTGGTTTGGAAACCATCTGATTCCGCCATTGCTTCAAATTGGTTATTGTACAACATTTTGCTCGAGGCTGGCCTCCCTAAGAATGTTATTCAATTCGTGCCAGGAAACCCCGTCGAAGTTACCAAGGTTGTTTTGGAACATAAGCAATTGGCTGCTCTTCACTACACCGGAAGTACCAGTGTATTCAGAAAGCTCTATGGATCAATCGCAAACGGCGTTGCCGAGGGTAGATATCAAGGATATCCAAGAATTGTAGGGGAGACTGGAGGAAAGAACTTCCATCTTATTCACTCTTCAGCTGATGTAGAGAATGCTGCTCTCAACACTGTTCGTGGCGCTTTCGAGTACCAAGGTCAGAAGTGCAGTGCTACATCAAGAGCATATGTTCCCAGATCCATCTGGCCTCAATTCAAGGAAAAGCTGGTTGAAGAAACATCCAAACTTTCGATCGGATCTCCAAAGGATCCAAAGAACTTTATCGGCCCAGTCATTCACGAACCATCATTCAAGAAACTCTCAGGAGTCATCGACAACGCCAAATCCGACACTGAGCTCGAACTTCTTGTAGGAGGCAAGCACGATAACTCAACCGGTTATTATATCCATCCAACTATCTACCAAACCACCAACCCCAGACACCCTCTTCTCTCTACTGAGCTTTTCGGTCCAGTCCTTACAATATACGTCTATGATGACTCCTCGGCTCCAGCTGAAGCTTTCGAGTCGGTTTGCAAGCTCGTTGATACTACATCTGAGTATGGACTTACTGGCGCAGTTTTCGCGACCGATAGAGCCGCGATTAGATATGCGGAAGAAGCATTGAGAAATTCGGCAGGTAATTTCTATGTCAACTGCAAGAGTACCGGCGCTGTGGTTGGACAACAACCTTTTGGAGGTGCAAGAGCTAGTGGAACAAACGATAAAGCCGGAAGTATGAATCTATTGGGTAGATTCGTCAGCGTGAGAGCATTGAAGGAAGAGTTTGTTGCCATTGGAAGTGTTGAATACCCAAGTAATGAGGTTTAGAGGTGATGATAAAAGTTGGTGATCATTGCAGTATCCGATGCGACGAGGAATGATTAAATTTATATGAGATGACGACATGAACGGAAGAGATGATCATCTCATGGAAATCGGTTAAATGGATTTGGCAAGCGATTTTCTTTGGACCTGTTACATGACATGCACAAATGCATCTTTCAGGCTTTGTATTTAGGGCGAAATTTTAATGTATATGAAAATACCAAGTTGAGATTTTAGAAGACACAATGAGATCAATATATTGATTGCTACTCAGCTCACAGGGTATTATGGTGTTGTTCAAGTCACTCTTAGAATCCCGGAATAAGAATGCGATTTTGGAAACACTTATCATCAATAGTTGGTTTGAAATCACATCCATCTAGGAGAAGTTCAGGTGTAACATCTTCTCATATAAGCCACCATCACTACTTCACACAGAGTATATTGAATATCTCCCTTTCCACAATGAATCTGTTGATCTTGTTCGTCAATAGAGATACTGTAACAAATGGTGTACTTTTCAAACTATTTCTCATTTCATTTCTTCTCAATTTGTCTAATCTTACGAACATCTAACTTTACTCATTTCTTCTTTTCCATTCTTCTTCCCAAAGTTCATTGAGAACTTATTCTTCGTTCTCAGATCACAATGATATCATTCGTGTCTCCATTATCCAGTCCCAGCAATCATCCACCTCGCTAACCAAAACTCCAATGCCAAAACCAACCCATCTATATGTAGATACCAACGCGAACCACCGGATATCTTTTCTTTCTACATCCGACGTCTTTTGACCCCGCCCCGTATTTTCAACTATTCGTCTCTATCGCCCATCTCATCCTCCGGTCTCCCATTTCTCCTTTAAAGACCAATCAATCCCCTCTCTCGTCTGACTGTAAGCAAACTAGTACTAATCTTAAAGCTCATTCTTGCCTCAAAAACATAAGTCTGTGGCCAACTATGCAACTTGAGTAGTTTCTCTTCACAATCGAGTACTTTTTCCGTCCGATACTCTATTAATTTACCATCGGAAACCTTTCCTTCCGAAACTGTATCTCCCGCTGGGGACAAATCTTTCTCATGCCAAGAGCAACACGCTAATTCGTAGTAGGCGGAAGGAAGAGTCCAGTCATCTCTGAGAGCACCACGTGCATGCCTGGTATATGTTAGTTATGGCGTTCAAAATGAACACAGATATGAAGAAGATAAATACCTTTCAGAATCCACAATCCCCCCTGTCAAGATCTTCCTCGCCTCCTCATACCTCCCCATGTTTCTCATCACACATCCACGTAGCAAAAGATGAATAGCCTTATCATCCTCATCCTCATTACATTTCTCCGGACACGTCATTCTATCCTCCTCGAGAAGATCTAAACATTTCTGCAATTCAACATTTCCACTCTTCTTGACTCCATTCCAGAAGTATATCATTTCAACAAAAGGACTAGGTCCAATTGCATCTACAAGATCTGCATTCCATGTTTTGGCTCTTTGTTCCCACTTACCCACTTTGCTTACTATGTAGATATCAAAAGGTAGTTGCTTAGCCATGACTTTTTGTTTGCCTGCTAGGGGTGGAGCTTTCAGGAGAAATTCGGTAGCTTTTTTCTTATGGATCTTAGCTGCTGTAGGATCGCTGACTCGGGTATTGCGATAGAGTTCGACATATGAAGCACCAGCCATATAGTGGTATAACGTTGGACTCCAAGCACTCTGCTCGCTGCAGTTCATCCATGCCGTCGCCGACTTTTGATATTCGTGGAAGAATAAGGTAGTGAGAGCCATCTCAAATGTATTGATCATAGCAATTTGTTTCATCTTACTTTTAGAGTTCTCTTCCAGAATTTCAAGTGCACCTTTCAAATCTTGGTTGTAAGACAACATGCGAGCTTCCTCCAATTTCCACAACCTAGAATCAGGGTGTCGAGTTTTCATTTCAGCTAGAAGCGCCTGGCATTTCTTTTTTGGATATCCCGTAAGATTTTCGTCAGCTCCTGCATCGGTAGGTAAAATATCACAGAATCCAACCAATCCATTATAATATCCAAGTAGAGCAAGAGCAGCAATGGCACTGTTGAAATTTTGATATCTTGTCGCTTGCCATAGGAGTCTGGTTCCACGCTCTCGATCTCCTTTGAATCCGACAATGTACAATATTTTGTTGAAAATTGGATTTTCGATCATAGAGAAAACAAGAAGTAAAAGGCCGCAACACAATCGAACTCCAGAATGGATGAAAATATCTGTACGGTTGGTGAACACTTTTTCTGCAAGCGCCGGGTCGATATCATAAGGGTTCGTAACCGAGGGAGGTGAAGGTGGTCTCGAGACGTCCGGAAATGAAGCATTGTTTTCGTCCATCTTTTCATCGAGGTCTCCTACAGAGAGATTTGCCGTTTGATGTGCAATATCATCCACAGTAACTGCTGGCAAAGTACTCTTTCGGCTCGGAGGTCTAGAAGTGAGTGAAGTCGTACTCGAACTCGAACTCGCCATCTTCTCCAAGTATTTGTTTTCAATCTCCAATATCCCATCCAGTGTGAGATACGCCTTTCTCAGTTTGTAAAAACCCTTGACTGCTTCTGTGATACTTCCGCTGAGAACGGCAGTGATCGCACTCGTCAATTGAGCCCTATCGTGAATTGTATCAGCACCAATTCTCCACATCTCATTGGAAATAATACTTACACAGAATAACACAACAGATACTCTGTACCCTGTGGGTATATGTTTGATTGGAAAGCCGTGGATTCCTTCTGAGCTTTCTTCATATCCTCCCAACTTTTATTCTCGGCTTCTAGTAAGATTACCGCAGCTTCCTTGAGTAAATCTTTCTCTACCCCCATCATCGCAGATAAGAATCCGGATATTCCTCTTCCTAAATGATGGTATGAAGAATCGTTTTTCTTCAATAATTTGTCTGCTTCATCGATGTCATCGTTCAACAATTTTAACATCGCAGCCTCGACATCCCTTAGATGCTGTTCCTCGTCTTCTCCAACCATTGTAGGTGCTGCCTTTACGGCGGATCTGAACCACCTGCTCATCTTGGCTGTTCTACTATATTTGTTTTTGCGCGTGTATAATATGCGGTTTTGTTTTCGTGTATGATGTGTGAAGGTCTCGCGACCTTAGGTGACTGTTATTCTGGCCAGGGGATCATGGGTTCTGTATCTGGAAAGATGAAGAGGTTTATAAAGTTCGTTAACATTCAATCCTGCCAAAGACAGTTATTAATGTCCAAGATAAATCTCAAGAAGTGGTCAAACCGGAGGGCCTCGGATATGGTCAATCCTGTTGGTGAAACGACGTTGATGTATTGAAAGTTCGAAAACCTGGCGCTCGGAGAATGCGGGGCAGTGAATTGGGGCAAGTATGGTGATGATGGTGATGTTAATAGTTTCACATACACGTATAACAAGGTAATAAGACAATCAGAAGAAAAGTCAAGGAAGAAAAAGCAAAGAGATCCTTCTTATAATAGTCCAGATCAACTGAAATCTCAGTCACAATATCAAATCACATTCAACGAAAAGAAAGGAGAAGATGAGAAACAAAAATGTGAAAATTAACTCCGTAGCTTACTTTTCAAGCTTCGCATTTCGTATTTATGACCATCTGTGAGTGAACTTGGAGGCAGCCGTCATCTATCCATTTTTGTTCTGGTTAAAGTACCTCCGAGTACCTGGATTGTCGAGGCTGTGCTATGTACGTAGTAATTGTTGGATCCATTGGAAAAGCTCAGGCCTAGAAGAGGCGGCGGAACAGCAAAGCGGCAAGGGTCTTTAAGGTATGGAGCACAAACTGACTAAGCTTTATTGGTCCTTAGCTTATCTAATCTACCAGGCCAGGGATTTCTTGCGAGCTTGCCTTATGCGAATTCACTCTGCTGTACAGTGCAAGACTCCAAACCACATTTCGCATCGCAAATCCATACCCATACAATTCAACCTTCGCACAGAACGAATACGATATCACATTATCATTTCTCCCATCCTCAACCTACGAATTTAACCTCCCAAATCTAAACCACCCATCATGTCCGCAGCACCAACCTCTGGCGCCGCCCCAACCACAAAGGCCACCAGCGCCGATAAATCATCCGCCGATGCGTCGAAAGATCAAAAGCCTGTTACCACATTAGAGGAAGATGATGAGTTTGAGGACTTCCCAGTTGAGAGTAGGTTTGTCTTTTAATCTATATTTGGTATTGGCGGCGATCTGAATGCGGTTCAAGTGATGATTACCAATAGAGTCAAGCACTGAAGTGAGCCGTGTAAAAAGCGGTTTCCTAATTGATGACCACAATTGCGTTATGGTGTCTGATGAATCTTAAAGTCTGAGGATTTGGTAAATGAGCTATGGATGATGCACGACATGGGGGGAGAGACTAGCTTCCCGAGCTTGCTCGCAGAGCATACTGCTGCCGGGATACAGATTTGAAACTGCGGAGATATGCGTCTGCATTCTACAGCCAGCTCCTTCTGTATCTCAAATACGCTCTCCGTTTCCATGCATCGAGGAAGGGCCAGTATCATACAAGAACAATATCTTCACACTTACACATTTAGAACTGACATGTTTACCCCTCTAGACTGGAGCCAAGAAGACACAGAAGTACCCGGCGACAACACACATTTGTGGGAAGAGAGCTGGGATGACGATGATACTTCGGAGGATTTCTCCGCGCAGTTGAAGTATGTATTACCATGCCACACCCTGATTCTCCTCGGTCTATGTTACACCTACCAGCTATGCCACGTCCATTCACGCAGTCTGTTGCTACACATACAATGTCCAAATACTAACCATGTTTGATTCATAGGGAAGAATTGAAGAAAGTCGAAGCAAACAAGAAGAGATGAGCAGGAAAAATATTTGGTTCCATGGGTGATACACATTCAATCGGGAGTTCAAGGGCATGACATTATATCACATACAGCACATCACAGTAGAAATTACTAGAAGATGATAAGCATACAATGGAGATGATCATGATATGCATTTCTCTATAATAATGTTTTTTTGTTATTCATTTCGTCATTCCAAATATCCCTTCGTGAATCGAGCTATCATATACTGTCTCCGAATCCAACGAATTTTCCTATAATCATAGATTGGACTTATTTGAACGGTCTGATATCCCATCAGAACCGAACCATTCTACAAGCGTGACCTCCAAATTTACTTACTCGACAAAGCAGAAACACCTGGGAGATCTTTGCCCTCGAGCAATTCCAAAGAAGCTCCACCACCAGTTGAAACGTGGCTAAGCTTGCTCTCAACTCCATACTTGGCAGCCACAGTAGCGGTGTCACCACCACCAATAATAACAATCTTTCCGTTCTGAGCAGCATCGACGGCAGCATCAAGAGTAGCCTTGGTACCCTTGGCGAAAGCCTCAAATTCGAAGACTCCTGGTGGACCGTTCCAGAGGATGGTCTTGGACTCATCAATAGCTTTCTTGTAGAGCTCGATACTCTTTTCTCCACAGTCAAGTCCCATCCATCCATCTGGGATACCCTCCTCATCAGTAGCAGTGCCAGTGTTGGCATCCTTAGCAAAGTTATCGGCGGTAATGTAATCAACTGGGAGAACAAGCTCAACGTTGTTCTTCTTAGCCTTCTCGACGAGATCCTTAACGGTCTTGCTTCCAGCTTCGTCAAAAAGAGAGTTACCAATCTTAACGCCCTCCAATGTCTTCTTGAATGTGAATGCCATACCACCACAAACTATGAGCTTGTTGACTTTGCCGAGGAGGTTATCGATCAATTGGATCTTGTCGGAAACCTTAGCTCCTCCGAGAATGGCCAAGAATGGTCGTTGAGGGTTCTCCAAAGCCTTGGCGAAGTACTCGAGTTCCTTCTTCATGAGGAATCCAGATGCCTTTTGTGGAAGATCAACACCGACCATGGAGCTGTGAGCTCTGTGGGCAGTTCCGAAAGCATCGTCTTGAAGCCATTAATTAGCCTATGTCTCTTTTGAATGCCCAAAATGAAGCTTGACATCAAAACTCCAAAATCCGCGATAAATTCGAGGAAAAAAATGACTCACTGATGAAAATATCTCCCAAAGCAGTCAACCCCTTTCTGAACTCCTCCACCCTCTCCTTATCAGCCTTGACCTTCTTTCCCTCTGCATCCTTCGAGCTTCCCTCCTCCTCAGCGTGGAATCTCAAGTTCTCAAGTAACACAACTTGTCCTCCAGTTGCCTTGTTGACAATTTCCTCAACTTCCTTTCCTACACAATCTGGTGCCATCTCGACCTTCTTTCCGCCCAAAAGCTTCTCGAGCTCTGGGACGACGGGCTTCAAAGAATATTTAGCGTTGACCTTTCCATCGGGACGTCCCAAGTGAGACATGAGGATAACGGCTTTGGCACCATTGTCGATGGCATATTTGATGGTTGGAACTGCGCCTGCAATACGTTGGTTGTTGGTAATTTTCTTGTCGGAGTCGAGAGGGACGTTGAAATCGACCTAGTGGGTAGGCAGTTAGTTAGCTAGTTGACTTAGTTTGGATGCCATTTTAGTATGTAGAACGCGGCTTTTTAATCTTCCAGTGATTCTTGAACATTAAAAGTATGACTTATACTTAATACAGTGTGACACTAGGATTATGTGATGGAGATTCAACGACAGGTAAGAACTGTAAACATACTCTGATCAAAACTCTCTTGTCCTTGACATCAACGTCAGTGATAGAAAGCTTGTTTGAAAGAGACATCTTCTTATAGTAATAGAGTCAAAGTATTGAGTGACAGCTAGATAAAAGAAGATCCGGAATGAGCTTCTTATAGTTTTGATTGCAAAGGTAGTATTGATTTAGAAATTGGTTGAGAAGAAACAAAAGCTTAAAACAAAAGGGACGTGAGTTGAGATTTGATGGAATGCCCCTCTATCATGGTGGGGTGGTTTTCTTGGGTCCTCCCCTCGGCAGCTTGTCGGGAGTATCCGTGACCTCTTCGTATCAGATTCCAAGGAATCTAAGCCATCACTTCATTGTCTATTGAATATGGTTGAATGTGAAATCCAAGCTGTGAAGCTTTCTGAGACGCTGGTATCTGCTTGGATGTTTGAATGGCGAGGCGTTTGCGATTTCTATCAAGGTGCCCTCTATATATACCTAGGTATTCCGTCAAGCTTGTTTGCTCACATAGGGTAGAGAGGTGGAATAAGGAGCAAGTGCCAGCCAATAGTTCCAGATTTCAGACAAAATGATTATTGCTAATAGATTTGTACTTATGTAGAATCAATACGATATGTATATCTGTGGTCTATAAAGAAATCGTGATATTCGCCTCCAAAAATCCAGGCGCCAAACGCCATTTGAATATTCCAACCAGATATGAAAATGAAACTCGTAGATATATTGTCCAGTGTGACCTATCCAGACCAAAATTCATAGACCTAGAACTCCACCCCTTGCCAATGCCGCTGATTCCGAGTTGTCCGTCGTTCCTTCCTTTTCGATACTCGGGTCTAGAGTTACAATAATCTGATGTTTGGTGATACCGGGGCTGATCGAACTTCCAAAGCATCTTCAGCTGCATTCGATAAGGAGAGATAAGCTGTCCATGCAATACCAACGGTCGAAACGAATGGCTATTAAAATCGTTAACGTTAAGTACTAGGAGGAAAGATTTTGTTTTGGGGAAGACCTACCAATTGGAACTGAATTGGCATAAGACGGAAGTTGATGATTTGTACCAAAGGCCAAACCATAAAATTAGCCTTTAGTGTTGGAAGATACATATCTCTTAGCTTTTGAGCCACTGCTCTCTTGCCGCCACCTTCTGCAACGGTCATGACGATAAAGAAATTGGCGATACCTATGAAAATTTAGTTATCATGCCTCTAATGATACCGAAGGACATTTCATACCGACTGGTGCGAAGACCAATTGATCCATCGCAACCATCTTCATTGCTGGTCCAAAAGCACTTGATTTTGTGATTGGAAATGCTTTTGATAGGAACTGGAACCATTTAAACTGTACAGGCGCCATCGCGAATCCATACGCCATGAATCGAGTCAAGCGCTCGAAATCAAAAGGTGGTGGCAGAATCTTGGAATCAGGAATAAGATCACGATCGTTGAACGGATTTTTCCTATCGAGTTCGTGGATTTCTATCGCCAATGAATCATCCTTCCTTAATCCTCCTTGTTTTCGCACAGCGGACTGTCTGATTGCTGTTATAGATTGTGCCACTGTGTCAGCTATGCCACCCAGTACTGCGTTTGTCACCATCATGGTGAGTACTGGACGGGCAGCATAGTAACTATTGAATTTTGCAGTAAGTCTCCCGACCATTGTGAGTTCGATGATGAAGATGATTGTGTGGATGAGAGGCTGCGATTGCAAATTTGTGTTAGCATCTGAAAGGTGGAAATTGGTTCCGGCCTAAAATCACTAGGCAATCAAGGACAAAAGTAGAGACTGAATCAAATGGAAGGTGCGCAAGACTTACGACTCTGCCGTAAATGTATTTGCTGTTTGCTGTCCGCATAAAGCGTCGCCTTTGGATTTCGAACGGTAGAGGCATGATTGCGTGAGGGCGGCGAGTATGCAACAGAAATAAATGGGTTGTGAATTGGACGGTGGGTTCCTTAGGAATTATGACGACAGAGACAAAGACAAGATCGATGATCTTCTAGTTTCCGATAGGATTACTCGTACTACGAAATAAGCCTTGATATTGTTCGCTTTCGTTAGATTCTCTCCAACCAAACCAAAAGGAAGAAAATAAATAATTTAAAAAACAAATAGATGACTCTGAAATGCGACAATGTAGAATAAGAATACTTGGAAATCGATTATGGAGGATGACTGAGGTGAAAGAGGGGGAAAGGATTGTTGCCGTTCCCCGAAACCATTGAGCCACTCCTTCACCAGCAATAATGAAGGTTAGTTTCAGTTACGAAATCATTCGCTAGCATTCAATAAATTCATGCGTTGATCTTTTTCAAGACTTGATGTCAAATAGATTGCAATGAGTACAGATTTACTTAATGCGTAACTTGAAGAAAATGCATTATTGCTTTATTCCCTTCGCCTTCGAATTCATATGCTTTATGACAGGCTGGGAAAGCGTTCGACAGTTTCTGTTACCTACTAGGTAGGTAGGTAGGTATCCAAGGTTACTAGGTGGTTGTATTAATAAAAATCTTCGAGAGCGATGGTTTGTACGCCGGTAGAGTAGAAATCATCGCAATCTAACATTTTTCGTTTAGGTAAGAGTCGGTCCCCGCACTTTTTCGCGCGGAGTAGATTAAAATGCGGTGTTTTCCTCGCGAAGATTGTTCGGGGGTTCGAGTTTTCTATTTGATATTTTGGGCATCGAAGATTTACGATAGGAATCTCTCCTTCCTATGCTTTCAGGTAGACACTACGAATCTTGCCTTGAGCTACACCAGTCAAGCTTTCCAGACGCTCTAGTGAGCTAGTCCTCTACGGAATGTTCATTCTCGTCAGTACTAAAGCACGTCCTAAATGATTGAAGTCTTTCCATGTGAATATTTTCGCATTTGTTGGAAAACGGATGCTAATAATGGTATCTGTTATGTCAACCTAATAGCGTTCTCAATCTTATATTCCGTTTCCTATCGTCTTCCATCTAAGAGCAACCTTGGCCAGTATTATACGCAAATTCAGTAAACCATCTCCAAAGCAAATTCAACCTGTTCCAACCCAGCCTATATTTGCACCTAACGTCTCAAACGCCACAGCTATTCTTGAAAATCAAAGATTCTACCCCTTCACCGTGTTCTAACACTTAAACTGTGCGTAACAATCATAGGTACCATCTTTCTCAATTGCACACCACCAACCCGGATTTCCACCATCCGTACCACCAACTCCATAATGACCGCCTGCATAATCAAAACTTGGAGATGCTGTAGGACTATTACCTATCATCACAACTCCATAAGGCAATTGCGATGCCAAAAAGAATGTCTTATACAAAGGAATGTTAGTTGTTCCACCGATAACATTGCAGGATGGGTTGAAGATCCAGGCATCTTGAACGAGGGGTCTAGTGGGGAAGTTAGATTTAGTGGCAAGTTGACAAATTCCGGGTGATTGCATGTTGCAGACAGGTGGGTTTGGTGGACCGGGAGAAGATGGTGGAGAGGTAGGAGCGGATGTTTTGGTTGAGGTTGTAGAGGGGGTTGTGGACACTGGAGGAGGCTTGGAAGTGGTGGAAGGTGGCTTGGAAGTGGTGGAGGGTGGTAGAGAGGAGCCCGGGACCGAAGAGGGGGTGCAAGGAGATTGTCGGCGATTGTGGCGGCGAGCTTCAACTACATTATCGCTTGAGAGGAAGAGCAAGACGCCGAGAAGGGCGACAAAGTGCTTCAAGTGCTGCATCTTTCTGTTTCTGTTCAGCAAAATTCTTTCGTCGTATAAGTTTACTCTCACTATACCTTTTGTCTTAATACCTGTTATTGTACTCTTTTGAGAGTTCAGAAGTCTAACTGTATGGTGGTTGCTGAGTCTTGCTTCTCGTACTGCTCTATTGAATGTCGCAAGTGCCGTGGGTTTTGAAAAGATAGTCGAAGATCAATTGTAACGAAAGCTTCTTGTCTTGATTCTTCAAATCGTTTTGGTGACTCTCGAAATAACCATAAAGTCCCAAATCGGATTGTTGATTCTTTCAAAGGGAAATTTCTTGTATTTCGCGTCCGGAAGTACTTCGTTGAAAGTTGCAAATACCGCGAGACTTAATTTTTCCTACGGACGGAAGTGAATGTCAAGAGAGGAAAAGAATTTAATTACAGTAGAAAAAGGTAATGATTTTCATCCGGTATGTCAAAAAATAAATTCAGTCTGGTTGTAGAGGTTTATAGGTAAAAAAAAATTATTCATTCTAGACAATTTTTCTGAACAAATGCTCATGTCCCATGTCATCGTCTTATGACCTCGCGCTAGTGTCTCCAAGCTTCATTGAGATCATTACTGAACTCTATTGAATCATTCTTCGTCCGAATTCGGTAATATCTTCATTTTGGGAAGGAATTCTCGGTGTTATTGCATAATGGTATGTTTTAATGTATCGTGGAATGCTACAAAAAGTTTTGTATCAAGCCGAATGATAAGTGTAATTGTGTTCATGTGGTTTTTTTTAACTTTGGAGTTTCTGCCATTCTTTTTCTCTTGTGTCTCAGCACCTACATCGGGTATCGTATTGCAATATTCACATGACCAAGAATGAAAACCAAAAGCTAATAGAAGTAAATTTGGGTGACCAGCGTTCTATAACACCAAAGAAAGCAGAAGTTTAATAATTGACGGCCATTCAAAGCTTTGTGATCACCATATAAAATAACCCAGCCCCTCTTCATACACGCATCACTATTGATCACTACATCCACATGTCCTCTCAGAAGCCGGTAACGACACGCGGTACATATATCTCAAAACTCTTGGGGATCTCAGCCATCTTTACTTCATTTGTTGAACCCTTGTCGTCGATTCGAAGACGCGTTCTGTATTGGTTGCAGCTCAACATTGATCGTAGGAGTATCCGAGGTACCATCACAATCTGTGGTACCCAATACCATTGCAGCCACCGTCCCAACAGCTTGTACAGTTTGCAAAATATTGTTCGAGTCGGTCGAATTGGCGGGTGAGGGCTCAGAAGTTTCGTCGGACTTGACTTCGACTGTGGGTGTTCGTGCAGCGAGTAGCTCAGCAAGCTGGTGCACTGCACGTGAAGCAGTTAGTAAAGCACATCATAGAGGGATTGGTAGTACTTGCAATCATCTGTTCTAAGCGGTTGTCGATATTTTCTCCAGATATACGTGAGACTCACGAAGACCATGGTGATTCTATATACTACGGTTGCGATGACATCCGGGCTCCAAGTAGCCTGAATAGGTAAGGGTGGCATGTTGTGGAAGGATGGGTCCCTGGTCGGTTGGAAAAATGGTATTCGCTGCGATTGATGTTTCAACAGGTCTGGTGAAAGATTTGCTCTTTCGAAGCTACGGATAACAACGATTGTGTGGCGAATAGCAGCGGTAAATAACGGAGTCTTTCTATCTAGAGGTGTCTATCAAGAGAGAAATATGAGGGTGAAGGGGTTGGAACCAGATCTTGCAGCTTTGCCAGTCGGAGTTGTATAGAAATTATGTCTTGTGAATGCTATTCGAAAGGTAAGAAGGAAAGAGGATTTCATCTGCAATATATATGCACCACGATCCTCGACCTAGTCGAAGCATAGATATTGGCAAATTGAAGATACCACTGCATCGCCATGCCTTTTGAGCAGAGGCATAAAACTCATTGACATCCGTGTGTTGACAGAGTAAAAATACTGTTGCGTCGCCATTCACGCCGGCCAAAGCCACTATCTGTTAGGATTGAGCATTGTGGAAGATTGATAACTTTTGCGTCGCCATGTATTTGAGCAGAACCAGAAGCCACTTAGAGCAGGGTTCATCTGAACTAAACGCAATTGATTGCAACAATTAAAGGCGATGCCATTTTTAGTATGTTGGGTCACTCGATAATCAATCCACTTCTGCTTGAAAGGCGACGCTTTTTAAAATTGCGAGTCAAAAGAGACCTAAAACTGTGGCAAAATTCTAGATACCGAAGTACGGGAATTGCGAGTCAAAAGAGACTTAAAACTGTGGCAGAATTCTAGATACCGAAGTGCGGAGGATCTGGGTTTGGGTCTGGCTGGAACTCTGCGGCACGAGATGGTGGATTAATGGTTTGGGCTGGCGATGCATTTCCCAATTTACAGACAGGGGCCGAGAAGATGTCAATCAATGATTCGCTATCTGCCCGTAGCTCAGGGTGAAAAAAAGAAAAGGAAAATAAAGTCAAAAGGTACGTCGTAGAAAAAGGTGATTTTCGGCTAGTGATATTTAAGATTGAGGGGATTGATGCAAACACGAGGGCTGGCGATGCAGTTCAAAGGGCCCGTCAACACTCCAAACATGCCTACCATCATTCACACAGCACACGTAAAAACAGGAACGACGCAACCTTTCAAACACTAACAGCATACCTAAATTCATTATTGTTACGGAGCCACAACGCCATCGTACTTTTCCTCCTGAATCATCGTTGTGTAATCCGGATTTACGAGTTTAAAATTCAAATTTTACCTGGGTCCCTATCCCAACACCGTCTTTTTGATTCTAAAATGTGAAGCCATTCTAGATAGATTTAATTTTACTCTAGAAACGAAGCAGTATTCCCTGGGTATGTTGGTCCGATAATGTTACAAGAACTTTCGAACATTCGAGATACCAAATTCATGCATCATCTAGAAATTGATGTATCAGTGACGAGTAAGGTAGCCGGGCACCCACCAGGGCGATGTACCAATCATCAGAAATACGATGCTGCATCGCCTATTCCTTGAAAATTGAGAGACGGACAGGATATATGACGACACACCTTAGAATCCTGAAAGCTCTCAGGGTACCAATGAGGTTTGCATCGCCTTTTCGATTGCTTCGGGCGATTGTGGAAAACGCAAGTTTTCTAAATCCTGGCGATGCAAATATTGGATGCATGGGTTACAGGTAAGCGCCTATCAAAGACCACAAACTTCAGCTCAATGTACCCTGCATGATGCAACATCACACACAACATAGCCCATTCGAGCATTCAAGGCAAAAAGCGCGTCTTGGCTCCTATGTGCTGTGTCCAGACTGGTCATGACGGCCCGCCATAATGCGATGCATTTCAAAAAGCCAAGGCGATGCATGTATAGGAACCTAGGTCTCAATTGATAAAAACAAAGCAATTCTCCAAGAAATTTGAAATCGATTTCGTATCAGCCAACTGAACATCATGGACGAAGATAACACCAAGAATCACCAGAGAAGCATTTTCGAACAAGCTGCTGCAACGCAGTTCCTGTTAGAACGTTACAAAAGCTACAAGACACACGAATTACTTATGCCCCTGGGCCAAACATTGGAAGCATTGGAGACATTGAATAGCATGAATGTTCCGAATAGCTTGGATGTTCGGCTTAACTTGAATGCTCTGATAAGAATGAGGGACGAATTCAATGTCATCATGAATGTGTTAACCGAAAAGGCGATCGCAGCTTTCGATAAAAAATACAGCTCCCTCCAAGCAGTCGCTAACTCGGCGTCAATACATTCACAGAATATCAATCAGTCTCGGGGATCCAAGAAAGCGCCGGGGCTACAGATGTCTGGGATCACAGATCTGACTCTTGATAGCAGTGAAGGCTGCGAAGACATTGGCGTGAGAAATGCCAGTGAAAAGTCCAGCAACTCGGTTGACTATTCCATACCTCATGATGTTGCACAAAGTACAACTATCACCGCACTACCACAAAGCATTCAGAGGCCTGGACATTCATCGATCAATCAATATATAGGCGAGAAGCCTGTACTTGACGGAAATGGCTCAACAGGCCCAGAGCTTGCCATTCAGTATGCTGAAACCCAAATTCAAACCGCAAACTCAACTCTCAAGGCTCCATTTGATACTCGGCCTTTATGTTCCGCACCTCAAGGGATCTCACTTCAAACAAAATCTGGCTCTGAGACGGTGTCTAGCTCCACGGCAGCTAGAAGGAGAGGCGATCCCCACCGGTGCAATGTTTGTTCCAAGACATTCACAAGGGGGACCACGCTTCGTGAACACGAACGGAGTCATACAAATGAGAGACCTTATCAATGTAGCACCTGCAAAAAGGATTTCTCGAGACACAAAGACTGTCGTCGCCATGAGCTCTCGCATGCGAAAGCTAAGAAATTTCTATGTGGTGGTTGGAATCGAAATGAAGTGTTCGGTACGGCTAGAGGTATAGAACTTGGATGTGGCAGGAGCTTCACAAGAATGGATGCGGCCAAAGCACATTGGAATTCACTGAGAGGCTCTGAATGCTTGAGGCCAATGTTTGGGATAGCAAAAGAGATTTCTGTAGAGCGGGAGCACTTTGATGATAACAAATGTTCTTGCGGCCTTGAATTTGAAAGTATAGATGAGCTGAAAATACACCTTGATGTTTCTTTCCAGTCAAGTTGTTTGAGACATGACATCATGGAGCTGGCGGAATCCATTGAAAAGAAGGATTATAAAGACCGGTAACAAACGAAGCAAGTCGCCAAGATCGGAATCTCGCATTGCAAAGATACGGATGAGAGATTTGCCACATCAGAGCATCGTGTTTGAGAATAATTGTGAAGTCAGTTAGACATTGGAAGTTTGGGGTTATATTGGCATTTTAAATTTGGATAGAGGGCAGGCTCTGGTAGGAGAAGTGTTGTTTAGTCGGAAGCTCCCATGAATCAAGGACGAGTGAAATTATCAGCAGGATTTTGATTATAGTAGGGGGTCCATAAATTTTCAGGGGGTTTCACATATGGGAATACTAGGTACATTATCATTTCATTGATGAAGTTAAATTGGGACATTGAAACATGATTTCAATTAAATGAACATTGAGAATCGGTGAATCACTGTCACATTCAAAAAGCATAGATGTGCTGATCGAAAGTGTCTGTAAATATAGATGCTTTGTCCTGATTTCACCATATATTTATCTTGCTTCCCCAACATCTCTCTCATCCTCCTGTCCGCTGGCCATTCACACAATTCTCCTAAACGGATTTGACTTTATCGATACGACTGTCTAATGTTCGAATCTATCATCATCAACCAGGGTAACCTTTCCTCAGCTCTTCCTTGCTTCGCTTGGCTCACCTCCACCAATAGCCCACTTCTAGAGCACGAGGTCCTTTTACTTTAGCATCTTTTGAAGATGCTCGAGAGTAGCAAGAGATCGTGCCCCTCTCCCAACCGACTTCACATAAATTTGCTTCAGCTTATCCACCGACGTGATTCTAGCCTGCGGGATCCTAAACCCGTAGTTCGTAACAGAATGTCCTGGGTTCTCCACACATCTGATGATCTCGTCGATACAAAAATCACGACTCTCAAGCTTCTTCTTTTGTTGCAAGGTAGCGTGCTGCTCAACCATGGTTTCTGCTAGTAAGTGTGGCAATTGCCTTACTGTTGATGCCATTGTGGTGTGCTTCTGACTACAAATACACGGTTCATCCCGTGCAATCCATAAAGTGCTGATCTCTCGAAGCGATGATGTTATCCAACGGAGACCTCGATTGTTCCTGCGAGGGCCATTGTGCACTTTCATACACACTATGGCAGATTTGATAGAATCCAAATTATTTTTAACACCCCTGTTGAAATTTCGTGTGCTTGAGCGGAGCATTATTAGAGCGTTCAGGTTGTTGAAATAAAATGTATCCGGAGCACGACGATGGTCTATAGCCATGTAGATAGGTGCGCCGCCTATTTCGCGGCCAAATACTGGGCGGTAGTATTTCAATCCTACTTCTCTAGCATCTCCGCAGGTGTGGAGAAGGCTTGGAATCTGATAATAGGCCACGAGTGATGTGATTTCAGTGTCGGTGGAGACGCTATTTCTGTGAATGTATGCGGGACCTCGATGGTATTGATTGACTTGCGATTGTTCATTGATAAGGTGGACTTTGGTATCTATCGTAATGATTTGCGCATCAATGTCTGCAGCAGCCATCTTCCATATTTCGAGCTGAAGTTCTTTGGGAAGCCATCGAAACATATAAAACTGATCTGTGGGAGTTTCACGTCGCTTCAGGGCCTGATATTGAGTCAATGATTTGTGCAAAGCAATTTACAATACTCAATACACAAGCAAAAGAGCGAAGCTATTGACAAATCGCACTCCAAGCTCGGATGAGTCTGACCCTTCCAGCTTCGAAGATCTTATGTTGGAGTGTGATGCATTCTGTCCGTCACACGATAGGGTAATACGTACTTTAGAGTTTATAGGTTCTTGTTGAACAACAAGATCTGAGTTCTCAGAGGTGATAGGTATAGCATAGTGATGCAAATCCAGACAAATACGCTTCTTTGGGGGTGAATGATCCATTGTGTCTCCGAGATGGATGCGAGAAATGATAGTGTCAGAAAAACAGAAGTGAAGTGGATGTGAAAATAACTGTGCGAAGCTCCAGTGTCATTTAAGAATTAAGAATGGTGGCTATACAGCCCCCTCAACTTACGGTGTTGTATTGATAGCGAGTTGATACATTGTTGGTTCAAAGAATTTTCAAGAATTGAGGTGTAATAGATTGTACGGCCGGAAAGTGAATCTTTCTTCATCTATTCTGGCGACAGTATACCGTAAGACGCGATTATTAGCAACCACAACCCTGAGAGCCGTGTTAGGTCATTTTTAAAGCAATTCAGTTGATTTTGATCAACTGTATCCACTCAAGCATCAAGTATATACAATGCAACTGGACATATTGCGGACGTCAGGCAATGATCTGGTCAGCAATTAATTTGCAAAAGTCGAGATAGTTTCATCACATCATTGCTGCGGCTGAAGATATACAGAGAGGACAAGAAAGTTTTCGCAGTCAGGTTCTTAGTCCCTTTGAAGTTTTCTAACATGATCTTTTGCTTTGAGGTCCTTGAAGAGTTTTCCACTCGAAGTTTCGATGAAGTTTGACATCATCTCTTGATGTATGATGGTATTTCTTTTCTTGGTCTCAGATAAGCCTGTCTCTTGAGGTTGCGTTGCACTTGCTATTGCTGAGAGCTCGCGAAGGTCCAGTTGAGTTAACTCCGAAAGAATGCCCAGATGCATGAGTAGAGATGGGAGACAAGGGCGTAATGTTTGAACAAGCAGCAAGAGCTTCATAACAGAGGAATCTATTTGCCACGAGATGATCGAGGTAATTATGGATGATGAGGCCAGCTTCTCAACTCCAAAGGAAGTGCGCCAAACTCCATTCCACTCGGGGAGAAGTTGCTTCGAGTGAGGGATCCTATCGCGTACCATTCAGATGTTTGATGACGTTGAATTTGAGTTGGCTCGTAGTTCATGCTCAGATCCAAGACAAGCTTCCTTGGCGCCAATACTCATCGTATCAAGACTAAATAAGTCTGATTCCATTGTCTGGGCAGATGCAAAGTTCCTGTATGCACATCATTCAAGTGAATAGAGAGCGAGTAGATAGTGTTCGGTCGGGAGAGGATGATTGTGATCCATCCCTCCCCTTTCTACTTACCTCGGACGTTCAAGAAACCAGGATTGGCTTGAAAATTGGGAGGAATATATTATCCGGCTCGATACTACGCGCCACTCAAGAGTGTCTGGGTATATATAGTACATGACTAGTAACTTTTATTAGAGAGATTGGTTAGAACACCTTATCTAGATTAGAAACGAGTCCGATCGTATCTCTCTCTCTCTTTTCACGTATCGTACATATTATTCAATAGATATTGACGATAAACCTCATGATAAACTGCTCGAACCCCGTGATCCCCGCGCCACTTCTCTACCTTATCAAGTCGCACGGGTCACATAAATCCTTGCACGCCGCCAGCCCTTTGGTCACTGCATTGACAAAACACGATACAATCTCGTTTCCTTTATCAGAAGTCAGGACAAGTCAAGTTGTCAACCTGTCAACCTGTGTTTCGTTACACCAGATCGTTTCCTCTTTTCCTCATCACAACATGAGCCGTTACTCCGGCCGTCCGCATGATCCTTTTCGTGGCTCTATTCTCCAACTATCGCATTGTACTCCAAATGCCACTCATACCAGTGTCTAATCTGCTTCCCTCCATCTTCGAACCCAAAAGCAAACAATATGTGGCGGTCTTTTAAGGTTCTCACGATTTCCATATCAGAAAATTGGATGTGGCTTACCTTTCGTATCACTACTATCTCCCGAACCCTGCCTTGAGCTTCGAATCTGGATCCATTTCCGTCGAACAAGATTGGATTATATTCCATTAGTAGTATGGTGGTCCTTCTAGAACGTGGTATACGGCGTGCGCCGATGGATTCAGTCCAAGTATCCAATAATTCCCCCAACTTAAGATACTCTTCCTTTTTTGTTGTTTGTGAGCTTTACCACACTCTTGCTATCCTGTGCCTCCCTCGGCCAATTGCAAGTATGGGAATCGGAGCACCCGCGATATTTCCCCATCCGTACCTTGCTCCACTAACCACAAAATACCTTCCTGATAAAGACTTGCCAAGAAGGAACCAACCAGGACGCTTATCTACACGAGCCAGTGAAGATCACCATACACTTGCAAAAAAGCTCCCATCTTCGTGAGTTCTTATCAGGCTTCCTACGTACAGCTCACCTATTGCTTTTCGTTCAATTGATTCGTCCCAAGATATGGGAGGCACCCCTCAATGAGTTAAATTAATTTTCTAGAATGTCAAGCCTTGGCTTTCCGTTGCATACATATGTAACTAGGTCGTGTTCCCCCTCTGGTTGTCCTACTCGTCCCAGAAAGTTTTCTTTTTTTTTCATTCTGCTTCCCAAAATTCACAATCTTGGAGCAATGTCGGACTTCGTCCATGGTGATCAGGCTGATCTAAAACATGCTCACCATGTTAAACATTCCCATGATCTGGAACACGGCCGCCTCGAAAAAGACCTTGATCCTGCTGTGATCACGGCTGGAAGTCATGAATCCGAGGGCGACTCTGAGGAAATAGTCTTGGCTAGACAACTTCGAGAAAAGAAAGGCTTCCTGCGTAGTCTGCGACGTGGTGAAGAATGGCTTGACGAAAAGCTGGGAATCGAAACGCAAGGCATTGATAGGATACACGAAGAAGACAAGCAACCTCCGTCAATTCTCAACGTCTTCTTTCTCTGGTGGTCTCTCACAATGCATGTTGGTACCATACCAATTGGCCTTCTTGGTACGGATCCCGAAGTCTACGGTCTCTCCCTCAGTCAAGCAGTTGGCGCCATTATTGTTTCAACTATTTTGGGAGCCGCTTGCACTGCATACACTGGTACTCTTGGTCCAAAGGTAAGTGTTCTGGGAACGTATTCCTTAAATACTGCTAACGAATTTTAAGCTTGGTCTCCGTGCAATCGCATGTTCTCGATATTCCTTCGGTTTCTACGGTGCGAAACTCTGCTCAGTTCTCAATGTTATTATCGGTGGAGGTTTTGCCGTGGTCAATATTGTGGTGGTGGGTCAGATTTTGGCTGCCGTCTCTGATTACACTATGACAATCGCGGTGGGAATTGTCATCATCGCAGTCATCAGTTATATTGTATCAATTTTCGGCTTCAGAATCATTCATACATGGGAGAAATACTCGTGGATCATGACATTCATTATCATGTGTGTCTTAATTGGCCAGGTCGCTCCCAAGATGGAACCAAGTCTCCCATCCGAGGTTTCTGGTCTCGGTTTCTCAGGCTCTTGGCTTAGCTTCTTCGCTGTGTGCTTTTCTTCAGCCTCGGGATGGTGCTCAATTGCTTCAGATTACTACTGCAACTACCCTGCAAATACCAAGGGCTGGAAAATCTTCTTCCTTACCATCATGGGAATCTCCCTTCCAACGATCTTTGCAACTATTATCGGTGCATGTCTGGGAAATGCGGCATTGGCTTCGTCAAACAATCCAACTTGGGCGGCGGCATATAATGACCATGGACTTGGTGGTCTTCTTCTAGAGTCTTTTCATCCGTTCCGATTCTCCAAGTTCTGCCTTGTCCTCCTGGTTTTCTCAGTTATTGGTAACAACGTCGCTGTGAACTACTCTAGCGGTCTTGGTCTTCAATTGCTTGGTCACTATTTCCATGCAATCCCAAGATTTATCTGGTCATTTGTCAATGCTCTTGTAATTGCTGTTCTTGCAATCGCTGGTAGATCAAGCTTATCCAGCATCGTCAGCGACTTTGTCTCTCTACTTGGATATTGGACGGTGTCTTTCACATTTATTCTCCTGATAGAAGATAAATGGTTCCGTCGTACAGAAGGTTACGATTTGAACTCTTGGGATAGACCCGACAAACTACCATGGGGCTTGGCTGCTGTTATGGCTCTTTTGGTTGGTTATCTGGGTGGTGGTCTGCCTGGCATGGCTCAGGTTTGGTATGTCGGTAAGTAACGATCACTTCCTTTCAGTATATTCAACATACTAACATTGTAACCAGGCCCAATTGCAGCTAAATTTGGACCATACGGAGGCGATGTTGGAATCTTCTTAAGTGGTGTCTTCACTATCGTGACGTATCCTCCACTTCGATGGTACGAGCGTAAAATCACTGGTAGGTAGGCCAAGAGTTGAACACCTGCTAGTTACTTTTAAAAAAAAAAATCAATTCTCTTTCCTATTTGAATAATTCATTTATAAATTATATATATTCTTGGCAATAGAAAGTGATTACCTACTTCCAAAAAAAACACCATAAATTCAATCCTACCCAGAATCTTGAAATCTTGGCTAGATGAACCTATGTGCCGGTTGAGTAGGAAAATAGGCACGTTGATCGCTGAAATTCTTGGTACCCCTCATATCACTTAACGGCAAAATACCCCTCCTTCCCAACGTAGAATTGCCATAAGACATCATAACATAATAGAACACTCACATACATGCCCATCATCCAAAGAAAAAACTTCCATTCCGCTTCAACCTCTTCCATGCAGCATTCCACTAACCCATGTCATCCCTGTAACACTATCCAGCGTCAATCCACCTTCCTGCATCCTCCCGCCATCATGTAGTTCATTTTCCCCACCGGATCAACATAACTGTGGAATCTAGCGTTACACGCTGCAGTTCAAATCCACCAAGCATAGGTAATCCAATTGTAAAAGGAAGGTCACATGGCGTGGAGTTCTCGTGCTGCGGCCCTGCTCGGCTTTGTGCATACGGGGTTGTCATTTTTTATTTGTCACGTTGTTGTGGTGCATGAAACTGTTGGGACTTGGTATATGTTAATGGATGTTTAAATTCGCATGTGCGCATGTATGTATGTGTGTAGGGAGATTAAAGGGAATGGGCCCTGAGGATGGTTTGTAGGAGGTAGGTAGTACATGCAGAATTGTTCTTCCGATGTGCCGAGATTGACCGAGGAGGACGTGAAAAAGGGGAAGGGAATGTAATGCACGAAGTGATAAATTTGGGTCAGTCAAATAGTTAAAAAGAATAGGTTGACTTATGAGGGATATTGAACCGCGCGGAATTGGGAACGGAATTTTGACTGAGAAGAAAGGAGTATTAATGTAGCGCGTGCTATGATTCGAAACAGATGAACTAGGGAGAAAGCTATCCCCGGCACGAGGTGAGAGTTGCGAGGTTCGACAGGTGATATCTCGAGATGTGGAGTCCAGTTCTTGAAAAACTAAAACATGCAAACCTTTTGATTCACTAGTATATGATCAGATATTCTCAAGGCTGTGCTCTTCATAGCCAGGCCTATTTTTGGGATTTCAGGTTTCTAGAGAAGATACGTATAGACAAGTCCAAAACAAAAGACGAAAAGGAATGAGCTCATTAATTCATCTTATTGTTTGGTGTGGCACACTTTTGATATAGTACAATGCTAAGGACAGCTCATCTGCCTGGCTGTGGGTATTTTCCTTCTCAAACTCCTCGCAAAAGCAAATATGATCGAATCCATTAACCATAAAAACTCTATCCGTTACTTCCCGGGCCAGGAGTATGTCCTACGCTCCCACTCCCATTTCTTCTCATCAGGTTCGGAAACATCAGAGATCCATCCAAATCGTCCATATCAGGAACATCGCTCAAATCACTCTCATCATCTGCACTATCGTGTACACTCCCTGGTGCTGAACTATCCTCTCTTCTTGCGCTTTGTTGGGGTGGTGCAACAGGTATCTCAATTCTGGGTGCGGAGGAAGTCATAGGCGATGCAGTTGAAGGCAGAATGGAAGATGACGTAGCATTTTTTGGACGAGAAGGGGCAGCAGGTCGAGCTGCTTCAGCGGCACGATTGATAGATTGCTCAGCTCTGGTGATGACTGCCTTCCGGTTGATACCAAGTTTGCGAGGTCTGGGTACCTCAACAGAAGGAAGCGGGGTAGAGGCATCCGTATTGGTAAGAATATGATTGAGAGTCATCGGACCCGACGGCCTTGCTGCAGCTTCTCCGTCAATTTGGGATTGATTCAAGGCCGTAACGTCTATTGCAGGAGTGTCTCTGACGACCTGAATATAAAGGACTGCCCAGATATCATTGATCATATCGTCGATCGGAGTTATCTTCGCGAGACCATTATTGAGTTTCTTCAACTCAATAGTCTCTCGCAAAGCATCAAGAGCTGGGTGTGAAAGACTACCATCTCTGATAGAATCGTCTAAGCGTTGTGAGTAGGCTTCCCACACCTCCTGGGAGATTCCTCTGAAGACTTCGTCGACATTAGCAGGTATAGCAGCAGCTTTACGAATAAGCCTAAGATAAATTGTACAACATTCATTCCAGACATCGCCAAATTTGAAGTAGTCGACTGCCCGCTTCCTGACACGCTTAGCCAACAACTCCATGTTTGGTTTATCGTCAGTAAGAAACAATAGCCTGGCCATGAATAGAGCATAACGTCGCATATAAACAAAATGTCTTCCTGGTCTTTCCGCTTCTGGTTTCCAAACTTGCATAGACATGGTTTTAGTGAATATGGACTCTCGAAATTCACTGCGAGCCAAACAAGCTTTCTCGTAATCCGGATTAGACTCATCGTAAACAACGTTAGCTACACGAGCAATCATACGATGATGCCAGTGTGGCTTGTCTAGATTTCGTAACTGGCGGAAGCAAGCAAGAATAAAGATTTCCCAATCTTCTTCGCTTTCAATCACAAAAGGATCTCCCTTCCGTGGACCGTATGGTCGGTCTTGTAGAAGCTTAGCGGCATCTTGAAATTCCATTTCTCCTCGCGCTACCAATTTGTGAACGAGAGAGGCAAGCTTGTAATGCGGTTCCAGAATAGGCTCCTGACTGCTTTTACTGGGTTTTGGGCATGTTTCTATGGCACGAATGAACGTATTCAAGACCGTCTCCATGGTGGGTATATTGGGCTGATAATATTCCTCCTGTGCGGCCGCTATCATTTTCCACTGGCATTTTCCCAGCATAAAATGATTCCTAAACATATTAGCATTGAATTTGACATAAGTATGAAGATAGACTTACATCCAGAAATCTGGCCGATCCGCGAGAGAACGCCTGAATAGTTCCGCTGCATATTTCCACAACTTGTATTTACTCATTTCCTCGAAAGGCGTCTTCTTGTACATCCCTACTTGTTCCCCGCTCATGTGTTTTTCTTCGCCTACCCAAAACACTTCCATGCTGAAAGGCTCTCGAGACGATGCATACAGGCGCATTCCAAAGTCATGATACATGTCAGACAGCTTTTCAGCCGTTCCAAATGAACTATCCGCGCAACGCATTGCTGTAGAGAGCGCCATAACATAACAATGAATAGAAGACTTCTGCAAACGAACTAAAAGGGGCCTATCGCCGTTCATTTTATCTGCGCTCCATAGCACCTCTTCCTCTAACTCAAGATCGTAGCATTGTGCAAGTCTGTACCACGCTTCCCAGTGATCCGCAGTATATTGCAGCTGAAGCTTCATAAAATGTGCTGCAAAATTCAAGTCATCCGTTTGGGAGCCAGCACTCGTTCGCTTCGTTGAACGGTATTTTGTCAGAGCAAGCATACCTAAGAGATAATACCAACCTTTATCGGCAAGAGGGCTTTCTGGGGTATGTACAGAAATGAAATCAATCTCTACCTCGCCTCTCATGGCTAGATAAAAGTCGAGAGGACGAATTGGAGTTTTCAGATACTCCGTGATGTTTCTTGAGTTATGTAACATGGTAGGTGTCTCTTTGGGCTGACCGACAGCAGTTTGCATCTTTTCAATTGTGGGCTTGAGTTCGTGCTTCATAAGATCTTTCATTGACATGTTGTTAGCAAGTGAGATGACTTGTTCTGCAATATTCATGACAGTCCGTCGATCCAAGTTTTCTCTAGGACAACCATGATCATCGAGCAGAAATGTGCCTACACCTAATTTGATGCCATATAGATCAAACAATACCTGGCCGAGATAGTCTTCCCATCTGTCAATGTGCTTAAAACGGGACATTTCTTGCTTCATCATCTTGAGGAAAATTTTATTCGAGACCTTGCAACACTTTCTCAAACCTAATGAATAGTGGACTAGTGCAAGGAAATCGGCCAGATCATTATCAGGAGTTGGAAAGAGATCACGATTCTGAGTTGTAGCTTCTTTGACCATAGCATACTGTAAAGCCCACGTCCGTACTTGCATTTCCTTGACCTTGTTCGCAAAATTGTTAAACGATCCAAACATAGAGTAGACCCCAGTCTGTGGAAGTGAAATACTTCCAACACTAATTTCGTCATCGAAGACTGCCGCGGCGTGAAGGATACGGCTTAATTGTGCCAATGCAGCGCATGTTGATTTAATATGGCGGTCGTCGATTATTTCGAAGCAGGTTGTAGCTTCGTTGAGTGCTGTAGTCAATGCTGGAACTAATAGCTGATCAAGAGCCTTGAATAATACAAGCAACTTATGGCGACGAGTCTCGTCATCACATTTCAAGTAACCTTCGCTTCTAAACTCTGCCACCAAAATCTCGATACATTTTAAGCTACAAGAAAATACTTTGGTCTTGTATCCGATGCTGGCATATGCTTCGCTTAGACGTTGCCATAGAAAAAGACGAAGTGATGTGCTTCCACTATCCAAGAATTTCCACATGTCACGTAATATCGCTGGTGTGGTATCTTTAATCTTAGAGATCTCGCTGTCTTGAGAATCAGCAATTTCCGTATCTACAGACTGAGATGTGGATTCTGGATCCAGAACTGGCTCGAGCGTCTGGATAATTGCTAACGGGTCGGATTTATCGGGCTGGAAAAGATTTTGGAAGAATTCCATCGTTGTCAGGCTCGAGACCTCTCGATCTGCCGCCGATGTGGAGATTTCAGGTATGACGGCATTGTTTGGGAGTAAAATTGGTGGTTTTCCAGCCTTGTCGAGAATATCTCGAAGGCTGGTCCAGAGAAGAACTTTATGCTCGCGTAAAACTTCTTCTGGAACTGTGGCATAAAAGACTGATGCCCACAGATACCTTAGAGACAGTTCATCATTCTGCTCAGAATTCCGGCTACGCATCACAAAAGCCGAGAGGTCTGCCCAACGATCAAGCCTGTCCTTTGTCATAATTCTGATATCCATTCCAACCATACTATCTGCGTTGGTAATGCGTGTATAGACGTCGAGGTGAAGTTCAAATATTGTTTCTGTTATCTCTTCTAGCTGTGACAGGTGGGTAGACGCTTCGCCAGATGAGCGACTTAGTTCCAACTCTGACTGGACACGATCGAAAATATCTGCATCAAGAAAACTGATCATCCGAACAGTGGCCACTTTCAATTCAGCACTCCATTGACGTTGTAGATAAGTCGCTAGAACAGTACGAAGCCATTCAAAAACCACATCTTGTAATGGCACCCAATCCTTTTCGATTTTTTGTGCAAAATGTGATATCCCACCGAATTCTGCAAATGGCGGTGGTTTGCTGTTTATATTTTGTGATGCTGAATTGGAATGTTCAAGAAAAGCCGACAAGCCAGCATTCGCACTACCTCCAGAACTTCCCAGAATGTCAGCGGCATTAGCGTTTTCAAACACTGCTGCCTTAGCTTCGTCCCAGGATTTCATGATATCACGTAGATCTCTAACTGCAGTGTTGATTCGGATATCGTTGTGCTCGATGGCTTTATCAATCGCCAAAGCTACTTGGAGCTCTTCACGGGTCCCTAAGTCTTCAACGCCTATTTTCTGAAGCACAGTCCCAACAAATCTGAAAACATCATCGTCAGCACGGGAAAACGTCTTAAGCTGTTCGGCATATTGAGCTGCTGGGTCGACGGGAGTTTCAGTAGTAGTAATTTCGCGATTTCTGATACGCCTGCTACGCTTGTGGGTGCTGTTTTCCTCTTCTGGAGTGTCGCGCAAGCCAGCAGCAGACTGAGATCTTTTTCTTGTAGGCAGAGCGGCATCAGGTAGTTGTGCAGAAGCTGTTCCAGCAGATTCGCCGGTCCTTTCATCAGAATTATTGGTAGTAGGCGTGCCATTCCCAAGACTTTCGTCTATTGGAGATATCGACATTACAGTGTCGACAATCTCTGGTTGATTTTCAACAGGCTGTCCACCCAATATGGGTTCGGGGGAAAAGTACTGGTCCTCTCCTTGGGGTAAAGCAAGTATGACTCCAACAACAGGAAGGCAAGTTGAAGCTTGGCATATCTCATGGCCAATTGCTGTCCATGACCTTTCTGGTACATTGATAATTGCACGGCGTTCGAGAATTTGCAATGGTACATCATTATCCATGCTCCTATTCAAAGTGCTGGTAGGATTTGGCAGGAATGGATATGGATCAATGTGTTTCTTTAAAAATTGAGGCATTTCATTCTTTTTGTAGGGTCCCATTATTGGATGAGATAAAGATAATTCATCAGACAAGGCTTCGAGTACACTCTTCAATTGCTCTCCCGCAAAACCTTCTTCTAAAGATTGAGGTTCGACTTCGGCAACTGTTGGATCGTCATCAACCTCGACAGCAGCCTCAAGACAATATCGAGCAATTCTCTGACTCCCAAGCATGGCTCCAATACGAGCTGCTCGTCTCCATAGCTCGGTATCCGATTCATCACTGGCTAGAGCACGCCCGAAATCATCCATTGAAACTTTGGCTTGTAGATCTAGTGTTACGGCATCATCCATCACGCCATTCGAGTTTCGCAGGCGAGCCTTAACACAGTCCAAAATGAATTGTCCATGATTTTTGTATGCGAGGTACAGAATTTGAGGTAATGTGCTGGATGTGCCATCCGCGACAGCTTGACCAATGTCGAGTTCAATAGGTATGGCAGAGTCGGCATACTCAAGTTCGGGATGCTCCTCGAGTCTTGTAAATTCGGTGACAGCTTCTGGGTAGCTGAAGATTTCCGATTGAAATAAATTCTTGTAGGCTTCGGCAGCTTCTCGATAGAAAGGAAGACCTTGGGCATGAAGCTTAAGCGCAGCTGTGTAGAGCTTAAGAGCATCTTCTATTTGAATCTCTCTCGTATTATCGATCTCATCATAGCTCTGATCGTCTGGTTCGATGTTTAATGCGGTAAAAGTCGCCATCTTGACGAAAAAACCGCGACGGTGTACTACTTAAAAGGTTATAGAAAAACAATGAGGTGTCGTTATTTAATGTATACGCGACGCCATATTGCGCCGTGTACAAGTATCACGGATTTCGACGCAGCAGTCTGGCCAAATGATTAGATAGGATGCAGTATTTCCCGTTTTCGCGCTTTTGTCTAGCTATTCGATACGATGCGACAAACGTTGTGGTTATATGTTTGTCGAACTTCAAATTGCATAGGATAGAGAGCTTTCGGGGTCTAAGTTCGTGTTCGTACGGTAGGTGATGGTATCTATTTTAGCTATCGTATTGAAGCAACGCGGATATTACAGTGAACACTGATTGAATGGATGAATATCATCCATAGTCGATCAAATTCACTAAGTTCGAGGCTTCGCGATAACCTTTTTTCCGAGAACTCGGACACCCCCTGCAATCAATGACAGACGGCGGTTATCTCATTGATAGCTTGAATGGCTGGTACATTTCATCATGATCATGCTTGTTATTAGTCTTCTGTCAATTGGTCAAATTGAAAATTGGCATTCAAGATGTACAAGTCTATCGTGGATAATGCCAATTCAAAAACTACTCATAGAATAACGCGAATTAGATTCCCATTGTCTATTCTACTCCTTATCGCTGTCGTCCTTGGTTTGCAGCTTGTCATTCTCCCCCGATACATATATCAATTATCTCCAGCAGCTACAAAGCTCTCAGATCATTACATATCTCAGCTTGAAGTGGGATATTCTAAATGTCTAGATCTACATACATTGCCCAAAGAATACTCGCATTCGGAAATCACGTCACGAAAGAATCCTCGCTGGAACTCTATTCGTGGTCAGAATCAGACCATAGTTTTGAAGAATGCAACTCTCTTCGATGGGAAAGCTCTTCTTAGTGACTTCGTGGATATAACGTTCGAGAATGGGCTCATCAAGTCCGTATCGACAGCTACCAAATCCATCAATCATGATTCCAATATTCAAATTGTCGACCTCAAAGGTAAATATGTTACACCAGGTCTTGTCGACATGCATTCACATCATTTCTTGCACGCGTGGCCTGAACTCTCTGTGACAGGCGATGAGAATGAAGTTCATATGGGTCCTCTTACCCCATTCGTTCGTGCAATTGATTCTATCAAGACGGATGACAAGGCAACTGCTATAATCGCTTCAGGCGGTATCACAACTTCCCTTCTCATCCCTGGCTCGGCAAACATTATAGGTGGTGAAGGAATTCTTGTCAAAAACTTCGTTCCGGGTGGTGAAACTGGTGAAGAAGTAGTTGAAGAAGTCTTATTTGAACATGGTGTACCTATCGAGGAGAGGAGAAGATACATGAAGATGGCGTGCGGCGAGAATCCTACAACTGTCTATGATCATACCCGAATGGGTAATGCTTGGTTATTTAGAAAGCAAATGACACGAGGAAAGGAGCTAATTGAAAAGCAAGATTCTTGGTGCTTATCAGCTGCTGCGGCGTTGGGAAGCAGAGATTCTGCCACCATTTCAGCCTTCGTGAAGAACGGTGGTTTACCGGAAGAATTAGAATTAGAATCTACGGTAGCATTGTTGCGAGGTAAAGTTGGAGTCAACATACATTGTTATGAACCTGAGGATCTTGAAGACATGATCCATCATAGTAAGGAATTTGGATTTCGAATTCAAGCGTTTCACCACGCCCTTTCAGCCTGGAAAGTGCCCGAGTTGATCAAGAGTAGTGGAGAGTAAGTTCTGAAAGTATATTTAAAGTGGCTACATTCTCATAGTGCAATAGGAATATTACCATTGCGACCTTTTCCGAATTCGGATTTTACAAAAAGGAAGCTTACGATGCCAACTTATGGGGTGGGAGTATTCTAGCTGAGCATGGAGTTCCTGTTGCATACAAATCCGTCAGATGCCCTTCTCTTATAGCATATACCAAAGCTAACATTTCAAAGGATCACGTTTTCGAGTTTACCAATGCACAATACTTAATGTATGTCTCCTTTAATTCGTTAATATGAAACCATTATTGATGCATAGATATATCAGGTTCCAAGCCGCGACTGCACATTCTTTCAATCTCTCCGAAGCTCTTGCTTTGCAATCTGTAACTAGTGTGCCTGCAAAGTCGTTAGGAATTGACTACCGGGTCGGGTATGCACGTCCTGGTTATGATGCAGACCTTGTAGTGTGGGATTCCCATCCGCTTCTCGCTGGATCTACACCTTTACAGGTTTACATTGATGGAAAGGCTACTCTGGACCCTGTCAAAGTCGCAGAAAATACAGCTGAACATTCTATCGAACGCACTTTAATGAAACCAAGATCACGAACTACTCGGATATTGAAACAAAGTTCATGTAGCAAATTAAACAACTCGGGTCAAATTATTGCTGTTACTGGAATTAAACAAAGCTATTTGACGCTAAATCAGGATGTCCCATCAGAAGCGAGTAACTTCACGATGGTTTTGGATGGTGGCAAAGCTGTCTGTCTAGGCTTGGAGCAAGAATGTGCTACTTTACTCCGTGAAGACGCGACTATCATTGAGCTCGAGGAAGGTGTTGTAATGCCAGGGCTCACTGCATACTCACCGAGTCTAGGCTTGGCAGAAATCCTCGGAGCTTCTGAAACCTCAGATGGCTCTCTTGACAAGAGTCTGGCTCTGTTGGAGCCAGATAATATTATCCACGCCAAGTACGGCATCCATCTGGATGGACGTGGATTTGCTAGGGCAAGACTTGGTGGTGTTACCCAAGTAATCACTACACCAATTTCTGAGACATTCTTTGGTGGTGTGAGCACGGGCATCAAAACTAATGGTAAAAACAACATCCTCAACGGTGGCATCTTCCAGGACGATGTTGCTTTACACTTTTCAGTCGGTCAGATGGCTAAACGTAGGTCTGGTCTCCAAATTAAAAATTCAGAACACTACTAAGCTATATATACAGAATTTGAAACCATACCCACAGTATCATCCGCTATAGCAAAACTGCAAGATGTTTTGATCAAGAACATTGGCAAAGATAACGTGTTCGGCACTGTTGCAAATGGATCATTTCCATTAGTGGTACATGTGGATAATGAAGTTAGCTCATATCTCCTCATTTTACATTTTGAAACTGACACCTAGAATTACAGTATGATATTCTCCAGCTCATCAAACTAAAGAACAACCATCCATTGCCCCTCAATCTTGTTCTTCTAGGTGGAGCGGGCGCTCATCTCGTAGCTGAAGAAATTGCAAAATCCAAAACACCATTCATCCTGACCCGAAATCGCGGTGCTCCAGATACATACGAGAAACGCAACGCACTCTCTGGTCCTCCGCTAACACGTTCTCCTGCTGCAGTTCTTACCGACGCAGGTGTGTTTTTTGCATTGGCAATTGAAGGCGAAGGCAGTAAGTTTCCTGGCTCTATTTCCCATCATTGATCGGCTTCAGACGATCTAACTAAACTTACAGGCGAATCACATATCCACAATCTCGCGATTGAAGCAGGTTGGGCAGCTAAATATTCCAGCCTCACAAAACGCGAGGCTGTCGACTTGGTTTCTCGTAATATTGAGAAAATTCTAGATCTGAAAGTTACAGAAGAAACTAGAGATTTCGTGATTTGGGAGGGAGATCCATTACAATTGGGGGCAAGTGTTGTATTTAGTATAGAGGGCGGAAAGTTGGGAACATGTTTGCCCTTGTCGAATTGATACCTGGCGTTTTACGCCGACAAGTCGACCAGCACGACCGTTATCTATCTCTAGATAGATAACATTCCCATTGTCAAATAGCATACTTAGAATCTCGCAATCAATGTAAAAATGCATGTGGGCACCAATATGCGACCATCATTTAACTCAGTGGCCTCGAGCATGTCGTATTTTTTTGTTTCAAGAATGTTATTTGACTGTAGTTTTCTCCAGTTGGTAGTAAAATCACTCATTTTTTTTATCTAGAACCTGGCCTTCAGCAAGACTCGTAGCCTATCAACGGTTCCTTCCCGCCACTGCATGTGGCCCGGCCCAAACCCAGTACTGCTTTTAGACGTTCCAATAAATATTAAGCGCCCGCCCATACTGTTGGAATTCTCCGACGTCAGATCAGATTTGTATAAATAAAATTACTTAACCCGGAATTAGGGAATTAGAATACACATTAAATGCATCTGGATAATCACATATCATACCATTTTATCAAATCCGAGAAATCATGAAAGTTTTACTTGGCAAAAAGAAGGATGGAAAATCTGCTACACCCAGTACCACTAGCTCGGCTAATTCATCAACACACAACAATGTATCGACGAACGCTTCATCCACTACCCAGGTCGGAAGTACAGCTTCCCTTCACGGCGGGTCGGGCTCTGGGAGTGAGAGAAATAAACTTCGCATTCCCAAAAGTCATGACGTGTCCACTAACTCATCTAGCACCGTAGTAGGTAGCTCATCAAATTCCACAGGGGGTGGTAAGGCAGATTCTGGCAATAAGAGCCATCGCGAGAAAGATAAACATCACGGGTCTGACACCTCATCGTCTAAAGCTCCAGTAACGAAATCAAGACCAGAATTAAAAGCATCTAAAAGTTTGCTGCCAAATATCTCTCTATCACGTACAAAGCTTGATGCTGAGGAAAAGGAGAAGAATAGGAGACTCGAAGAAGAACATAAAAGATTGGAGACGACAAAGCTCGGACATTTCGAATACTTCAAGGTAAGAGAAGCGGCCAAATCGGAGCAATCAAGGTTACAGCGAGCGAAAGACTATCTGGAGACTCTAGAGGAAAATTTGGATGTATTAAAGTATCAGCTAGAGAAAATCAAGCAGAAGATTCAAGAGGATGGATTAAAGGGATCAAAGTATGAGCTAGAGGAAACCCGCCGGAAGAGTCTAGAGAAAGCTATACTCGCGACTGAAGAAGAAAAGGGAAAGCAAGAGAGTGAAGTGGAATTTAAAAGGAAAATTCGTAATAATGCGGACGCAGAACTCGCAAAAGTCCACAAACAAGACGACGAAATAGCGGACGAACAATCGAAGATATTGAGCCAAATGAGCGAGCGCAATTCTTACAGGGTCAAAGTGGAAAAAGCAATGAAAAAGGAAGATGAAGAGCGTCAACAATTGAAGATTAAACAAGACGAAGAAGAAAAGAGGGCCAACGAGGCTAGAAGGCAGGCGGACCAGAAAAGAATCGCAAATGATGAGGCGATAGAAGACCAAAAAGTAAGGATTAGAGGCGAGCTGATAAAGTGCAAAGATTCAAAATTTGAAAAGTCAAAGTATGATCATAGTAAAATGAGAACACCAGAAAGAGAAAGGGAAAGGGGAAAATGGAAAACAATACTTCCCAACCCTGAATGAGGTGACATTTGCTCTTCAGCGCAGACGAATACAAAGCTAGCTTTAGAATCCTGAAACATAGCTATTATAGAAGTATATGTGTTAATTATTATACCTCTCAAAGCAATTATAGTATACTATACATGGTTTGTGCCAAGTGGAACTTTTGTTCCTATCAACTTTTGGATATCAGTCCCATCTTAACCCGCTAAGTTCTAGAACATAAAACCTCCATTTCCTGCTCTCACTCCTAACTACACGTATAACCCCGAAACATCTATTCCTGACTTCTACGACATAAGCTTCTTATCCTTCGGTGCCGCTACTTCTAAAAGCCGCACAAAGTGCTGCATAGTGATGTGTCAAGTCCAAGACGTTTTGCGGTAAGCTTGTTGCTTGAATAATACTCCTAACCTTCACAGCACCTTCATCTTCTATCAGTGTGCGTATTGTGTACAACAACTCTGGTGAGAACTCCGAGTACCATCTGTATTGCCAAGTGACCAGTCTAATAACACTGGCAACTGTGTCTCGAGTATTTTTGTTCTTCTCCAATTCGGCAAGAATTCCCGCCAATGCTTTGGGAGAGAAACGTATTTGAAGACAGTTGCGATAAGCTTCAACAGCTTCCGGCTGGTGATGAAGTCTATCGGCTAATGAACCGAGAATTTCCCATTCCTCGGCCGATTTCTTATACTGCATTTGTTGTGCACGGTACTGAGCCATTTCAGTTCTCCATATAGTATAGATACGAAGGTCTTCATAGAGAACCATAAATAGGCTATCGAGCCAACGCTCACAAAGTCTCTTGTTATTGAATCTGGAAAGTTGTTCTTCGGTGGTCTCGCTCTGTTCAATGTTAGCGAAATCGTTGGGGAATTTTCGAGCGTCACTCACATCTTCGTTGCCACTTTTCACTTCTTCTGCTGCAACGGTATGTGAAGGCTTCTCTACAGAATCATCGGCTCCGCTACCATCCTCAGCGTTCGGTTTAGGGGCTGCCGAATCGCCATTCGTACTTTTTCCGTCGTCGGAATGGTCATCGCCATTTGCACGAGGACCTGGACTTCCTCTCAGTACGTCGGTGCTTGCACTACGCTTAGTGGAATCACCTTGCTGACCAACTGGTGGCTGTTTTTCACTTCTGTACTCCTCTTCCATGACAAATACATTACTCCTAATCTTGAGAAGTTGATCCCAGCCAATTTTCGCTGTCATTTCTGTTAAGATACTATAAGCGTGCTTGAAAGTGCCCTTGTACATAGCGGCACGTAGGTTCAACAGGCTTTGGTGAACTTGTTCTGATAACCTTGACTCTGTCTCACTATCGATCTCATCTAACCTAGTTTCAGGAAGGGTTGGAAGGTGGATTTCCTTAGGCTCTGGCATGTTAGGTGCATCCTTGTCTTGATATGTAAACATGGGGCATGAATTTAAAGTCGTAAGAGCATTCTCCCAATCTTCCATGGCAACATAAACTTCAGCTAAGCGTGCCCATGTTCCGAATTCGCTCGGCGCAGCAATGGTACTTCGATCTGCACAGCCAAGGGCCATCTGTAATCTTTCAGTTTTGAATTCTGGCTTGTTGGGGTCCATTGCCTTCTTTTTCAAAAATTCGGCTTGAGTATCAAGCATAACATAATCCATTGGCGACTGCTTCACAGATTCATGTAATACTCTGACGGCTTGTACCTCCTCATTGCCCATAAACAGGACCTTGGCTAAAAGAGAGGAAACCTCAATATTTCGGGTTCGGAGCTTTTCAAATAGATTAATTCCAGAGGCATATCGCCCAGTGGTTTGAAAGTATTTCAGAAGACCTGTTGTGAGATGATTCGAGACATTATTTGGTACCTGAACGATCGAATCGGATCCAAGTTGCCAGCCTACAGAAGTTAGTCTTAGGTTATGTCTCCACATCAAATGGCATACCTCTAAAGAACAACTGCTCGGCAGCCTGAAGGAATCTATGTTCTGTCTCCGTCGTTGTCACTGGGTTGAATCTCCTAACTCCAATTATCTTTCGAATGGTGTCTCCACTTCCATCATCCGCATATGAATATGCCCGAAGAACACTACACAAGTATGTTTCCAACCATAACTCGTCAGTGGTCGTCCTCTTATCGCCTCGCTCATCGATACAATAACTTTCAACGCTTCCTGGAATTGTGACATGGACGCGCATATCCAATCGAGAAAAGGCATTGTAACAACTAATAGGAATTAGTAACGCTCCGCATTGACAAACTTCTAAACCGACCAATATACGCCCTCAACTATCTTTGTCGTAGACTGATGGTTTTCTTTGTAGGTAAGGGTATTGATATATGCCGCTAAACTTGCAGATGATGATGCATCGACGCCGGTGACATGATGATATACACCAATCTGCTTTCCTGGATTTCTTGGGGCTTGCTTGATCAATTGAACCAGATCTGGGGGCCCCAATTCTCTCAAAGCTGCTAGAACTTCAGATCGCGCATCGATGGACTCGTGAACGATCTCTTCGGTGATCTCAGGAACAGCTGGCGCAACCATCTTATCCTCTCACAGGGCGAACCTGTCTTGTTGGTGTTGGTAGATATCGCTGTGCGAATTGGAATGATTTGTGATTTTCGAAAAGCTCAATTCTAGAATATGCCTTGAAACTACTAGAGACGTGAACAGTGATAGTGGGGGTTTCTTGCGGTCGACAACTTTGTGGTTGGTATACAAATGTAAACACCTCATCGGCAGGGAGCTCAAGCCACACTTCAGCCTCGCCAATTCATCGGCATCAGGCTGTGCTTAATCAGCACTCTTCTTGTTTTGCAGACACGATAGAGAAGATTTCGCGATAAACAGTGCCTCGCGATTTGAAGGAGAGCCGGCCACCAGGCGTAAAAGGCTGTTCCATTGTTAAATTTGCTTTGGATACCAAGATCTGATCATGAGCTCTGAATTGGGGCTATGGAAAGAGAAAATTACCTAATTTGGTCTTGTAAAGGCTCAAAGCCTAGCACTATATCTAGAATTCCAGAAGTCCAGGTATCCAGACGTTACTACTTCACGGAATGACCTTCTGAGCCAGATTTTACTTCTTTGTATTATCTCATTACTTGCTCGCAATGCTTCAAGTCGAATATGTAAAAATAGTCAGTTCACGAATTGGCTCCAATGCTTCACAAATCATGTCCTCAAATTGTAGTCATATTGGGCTGTTAACATGATATCTCTAGAAACGTATTATATATTTTTAATACTTCCTATTTACCTTTGAGGTTTTTGAATCACTCCACAGAGAAAAATCCTGTGAGCCGAAATCAGGACTCTTCGGGATCATATGTCCCCTTACGTATTGGTATCCCCAGAACCTTTTCCTGAGCCTTATTCAAAGTTGGCACATATCTGCTTTCTCCTTCGATATCTTCCCACCACCTTGAAATGGGACCGATCCTCCCTATTTTATAAATAGCGAAATGTCTAGGAAGCTCTTGAAAATCAAATTTCCGTTCCCATTCTTGATCCTGGTTCAACCCTCTCCCTAAGTCCATCCATTTCGTAACCACAAATGCTAATCCTTCACTCCCACAACTGACGATATTGTCTTGAAATTCTGTCCCACAAATTGTGTACTTTGTTTGTATGTGATCCAGGCCGATGCACGATAGTGTTGACCAGTGACCGAGAGGTTTCATGTGCACGCACATAGAAATGGGATCCAACCATTGTTAGAGGTGACAGATTCTTTGACGATCATTGTGTAGGCTATTTAGACATTCTCCAAAAAGGGTCTTGGGGAGCGTTCTGCAATATTCGGGGAAGGAATTTGGAAGGTTATGAGGAACCAAGTACACGTGCTGAGAACGGTAGACGATTCGGGCCTGTGAGTTCATGCGAAATTCATGAGTGACGCAATGGTCGTTCAGTTGATGGCGATGGTAGTTAATCAGCTGATCTCCTGCTCTGCCTATCGAACGTAGCTGAAGTTGTGAAGATTCGTATTTGCCTTCGTGATATAACTTCGCAGCCAGTTGTATGTCACTAAAACGGAATTTGCTCGTGAATGATTGTTTGCACTCCAAGTTTTTTATCATGCTCCCAACATTTTCTGGTGTTCGTCGAAGCAGACGGTTCATGCAGCTTCAGACATGTGTGACACGAGATGTATTGCTCGCAGTCCCTGCAGAGGAGATCAAGTAGATCAGTAGTTTCCTTCGGAGAAGTCTTGACGACGTCAAGGATTTCAGTCCAGTATTCTGGACCGAGGGAAGTCTTCAATTTGCGAGAAGTAAGAATGAATGCTACAACAGAAGATTTTGGAAGGTATGCAAAGATATCGTCTAAGACTTTAATTGGGAGGGTAAAAATTGGAGCGTTCTTTGGAGCATAGGCAGCACTCTTTCGGATGGGAAATCTGGATATTTCTTCCCGAGGTGTAAGGTTTTGGGTGGTAATTGGCTTTTCCTCAAGAGAGTTTGGAATTCCCGTTTGCATTGGTGTGACATACGCATAGCGAATTGTGCAAATCTTTCTTCGATTGTCAATATGGTAGGTGGTATCCTCCCCCTCTTTACGAGTCGCTTTGCCATGTTTTTCGTCTACAGAGTTCGCCGACTCTTGTATTACATTATCATATATATATATATATATCTGATTTCCCAAACTTCACTACCAATTGTGATGATGTAGTACGTGTTCACCAGAGGTTTGTGGTTGGGTATGAGGATGCTACGTTTGCTGTTCCCAGAACGAAAGCTCGTTGCTTCTATTGTGGTGGTATGATTCACGCTCTTGAAGTTCCAACCAATATGATCAACATCAATAGAGTACTCAGTATTTGCGCAATATATGAGTGTGATGGTAGAAGGTAAGTTTATTGGCCCGTAATACTTTGCTACAGACATGGTGAAAGATTATCGTCGCCGAACGATGTTTTATTAAATGTAAGAATAGTTTGAAGGTCTCGGCAAGTCAAGAATTAACTGGATGAAGTGGAATCGGACAACTTATATGTGTTCTCTATATCATGTGATCCTTCTTGAATTAAACTTAACTATGAGGTAAAGAATCAGTTAGGAGATCAAGTGAACTAGTGCAGTAAACTAAACATCAGTCTATGTTTATTTGACCAAAGTTCGATGCTTGATCGCTTACAATCACCTAAACTCCTATAAGTCCCGGTCTAGTGCCGGTGTCAATCACCAACTTGCAATTGCGATACCACTTGCCATATTCATACGTTCTTCTCTTCTCTTGGAATTCATACTACCTCGCAGACACTCAATTTTCAAGTCCAAACTATGTGGAATAAGCTTCAATCCATGTTATCACCATACAAATCCTTAGTTCTCAATTCTTCAATACATCATGCACCGTCATGAAAGGAATGCTTTTCTTCTCTGATTGATCTTATATCGATGATAAAGCTCACTCCGGTGCTCAAAACCGATGGTTCGGAGTATTACAGTAGTGAATAAGTAAGATTGACCTATACCAACTATGAATACTCGTAGTCCAATTGAACTATCTAAGCAAGTATCCTCCAATAGGTACTCAGCAACACCATATTAACTCAGTATCTACTCCATCAGACTTTCACTTGCTAATACTAACCCCAGAATAAACAAAGTTTGTCAGAAGCAACCTTCCTCAAAATCTCTTCTCTTCTCCTCTGCGAAAAATAAACGTACTTGTCTAACTGTCCTCACAAATCAAGATCTCATAGCGACTGACAACAAGTAGCATCACTCATACCTACCTAGGTATAAATAGCAGAGACGACGAACACTCAAGTAAACAAAAACAACAATCCAGCCCCCAAGCCATGAGATAAGAACTTCTCTCCCAAGTATTTCGAATTCACACTCGTAACTTCTCAGTCGATCTCTCATCAAATCAGATATATAATAAATCACTCTAGCTAAATCATTCGCATTCATCCCCGTTCACACTGAACACCTGTACAACAAAGGAAGAGCTGATAGGAAATCTACATATCCATATTGACCTATAATAATGTACTCCCAAAATATCCAGATAATCCGTATTCCGCATAACACATCCAATTATTCCATATTGGAAACTATCAACTTAACTTACCCAATTTCCCCTCTCCGGGAGCTTCAATATACTAATCTAATTTCTCAATCACTCACCACTCATCTCCCATCTCCCATCTCCCATCTCCCATCTCCCATCCAACTAATTCTCAGAATCTTCACCTTCATCTTCACCTTCATCTTCACCTTCATCTTCATCTCCACAATCAATCAACCAATCAAACCTTCCCCATCACATACACATCAAATCAAGGATTAAACAACAATCACAATAAGTACTGTACCTATCTACAACAGATTCCCCCCCTCAAGTTCCATAACCCTTAACCCTTAACCCTTAACCCTTAACCTAACCCTAATACAAAGACGAAAGATCTAGCATTTATAGATTCACCGCTTTGGGACTCTATATGCGAATCTCACTACCTACCTAGTATGCACTATACACTGTATAATATAATAAATACTATCATTCGTAATACAATATTGTATTGTAAAGTAGTAGATCCTCTCCATTGCTCCAATCCATACATCCCTATTAAACAACACAATACAATACATACAACACAGCGCATTCACCCAATCACTAAACACATAATAGATCCGATTCCACAATCTCTCATTACCTCTAGAAACCTCACATCGATATGTTCATCGCAAGCTTGTTCCTATATCCACTTACCTATACAACACATCAAAGTATAATCACCATCACAAGTATCAATTCGAATGTAGTAAAGTCAAAGGCAATAAACTCTTAATTAATCTAAAAGATTATACACAATCGTCTTTTGCCTTCCTTTGAATCTCAAAGGTTTGTTTCCTCACTCCTCCTGATCATTCTTTATGAGTGAGGGACGATCAAAATTGTCATATCTTTTCACCCACACTAGCCCTCAATTTCCCAAGTCCTCAATCTATATAACCCATCCATGCATCAAGTTCAATCCCAATCCATTCCATGCAAACCTCCCAAATGGTATAATAAACTTTCTTACTCCCACCCCCTTCCACAAAGACAAGAAAGTAGAAGACAATCAGAATCCATTCCATTCAATTCCACCCTCACCATCCTCGAAAAAAAAAAAGTCGAAAAAATCGAGTAACAACTCAGGATATCAAGAACCCATCATAAAATCATTTCGTAAAAGGAAAAAAATAAAAATTTCCATCTTTGTATCCAGAGCCCCAACTGATATATTGAACCCCCTTGACCCAAGCATGCCCTTTTTTGTTACGAAGTACTTGCCACGTGCAAGCAAACAAGCCAAAATGTCTTTTTGACTAGACTCATCTCATTGTAGAAAAGTTCAAGTGTGGCCATAGCTAGCCAGGAGATATCCGAACCTCGACTGCAATAGAATTTTCCCTCATTCCTAAAGTAACCCAATCTTTCTTGAAAAGATGTCAAATTTGCGTGCCATAACCACCTACATTCCACCCAAATGTTCCCCGTGTCTTGAATCCATCAAATTCAGAATAGATTTTATTCATCATTTGTGAACAAGTGGGAAACATGATTGGAATCGAAAACAAACGCAATCCATCCCGTATACCCAGCCATTTTTGTGCAAGTCAACTCTCTAACATTAATGAGAAGTCGACGAAAGATCCAGAATAACAAAAAAACATAGTACAAGAAGCTTACTTTTTGAAGACTGCTTTTGAAAAGCAAGACCCAAGAAAGTAAGAAATAGAAAAAGTCTGCGCATAATTACATTTTGCAATAGCGAGCCCAAACGTGACTGCTAAGAATTTTTTGTATAGCTCTGAACTTGAGCACAAAGGTCTAAAAGGCAAAATGTGTAAAGAAAAATCGAAAATTCAGTAAGTAATCAATCCCAAGCCTGGAAACCCAAACACCAGACCAGGAACCTTCCAGGTTCCATGCCCAACCCCATTTTGAGAAGAAGAAAACAAAGAGAACAAGAAAATGTCTAGATTCGCTTGATGTAACGCCGTAGATGTGGTTGAAAAGAAGTAAAGTCGTAAGATCGAGGCGGCCACCAGAAAGCGCAACGCAACTCGAGATCGTGATAGTCGGACATGAATTCCGTGTAGTTTATTATCGAGTGACCCTTGTATTTGATGAAAGGAGACTAGGTAGACCGGTGACGACACCTCTTTTTGTAAACGTAATATGTGCTTTAAAAAAAAAGGTCAATAAAAGGAAATAATTGAAAACAAGAACTTTTGTGACGACGAATATTCATGCCGCATTTAATCCGTTGTATGGAATTAAGCAGATGGATAAACGATTGAGAATTACTTAACCAACAACAGCTTGGTGTCCTCCATATGCGTGGTGAGGCATGAAGTATTGCTGTTTTCCTTGCGAAGAGTATTCTGAAGGCTGAGGGTTCCAGATGTTCAAGCTGTATTGGTGAAAGTAATGTGAAGGACTGTAATGGTGAGGGCTATAGTGGTGAGGCCATTGGTTGTGGAATCGAGTGGACATATCGGGCATGACGTAAGGAGCGTTTGCCGCGGCCATGCACGCTTTCGCGTATTGGCTGTACGCAGCAGCATTCCAATCATATTGAGGAGCGGTACTGGTAGCACTCAAATACTCTGGAGTAGTGACACCCGAATCAGGAGCAGATGGTGGTGTATGCTGAGGAGTAGGATATGAATGATTGGCCCAAGCAGGATGTTCATAGTGAATGTATTGTTGTCGCTCCTGTGTGGCACTCTTGGGATAGCCTCTGTAGTTGGCGTTGGATGGACGGCGCGAAACATTGGTATCGATAGGAGCCAGAGGCGTAGGTGCAGCGGAAAGACGCTCGAGAGTAGCAGCCTTTACCTTCTTTCTGTCTGCAGACCAAAGGCTCCAATTTGCCAACCATGCTTGGTAGGCGTCGCTATTGTCGAGATCGACATACAAGTTCCACTCGATGGCTTCCAACCAAGCGTGCTCCATGTTGTTGAGTTCGGTAACTGCGATACCACTGACTTCTGACCAGGACTTATTCTGGAAGGTATTATCATCCAAGAACTTACTTCCCAGAAGCAAGCCAACAGTCAAAAGTCTCCACATCGAACCGCCTCTCGAAACGACCTTTGGATGTTGTTGAATGCGGTTGGAAAGATAGTTCATACCAAGGAGAATGGTGGTGTGAGGAAGACGAGTGGATGAAAGGAGTCCGAGAACGAACTTGCGGAAATCTGGCGAAACAGTTGTTGTGTTGTGGTCAACAAGTCTCTGTGTCATTTCTGCCACATAGTCTGACATGTCCTCGATCTGATATTCCAGATGAGCACATACACCTCCGGGAACCATGATGGGCGAAGCTTCAAGGGGACCGACGAGATTCTCTGGAATCTTGTCGGGAAGCAAGAAAAAGGATTTCTTGCTGAGAGTTGTGATAGTAGTAGTAGTAGTAGTAGTAGTAGCAGTAGTGGAACGTATGCTAGTTGATCAAGCAAGCAAGCGAGTAGTTGACTGATGCTACTAAACAAGAAGCTTCGGATTGAATGAGATCCTATCGTGGTTGTCGGGTTGACAAGGGATGTTTTAATTGAAGAGTGAGGTTGAAATTTATTGTTGTGTATGCGCCATCAATCGATTTTGTTCAAAGTAAAAGTTGATAATTAAATAGAACTTTTGGTATGACTGAAAAGATGATTGCGGGTGGGGTGATTGAAAAACAAGTATTCCTTATGGTACGAGAATAGTTGAGTGGAAGTCGAAAGTTGATGGGTGTTCGGGTAGCAAAACACAAACTTCTGAGACTAATCGAATCGAATATGCAAAACAGTGTGCAAAGTGAATATCGAGTCCTTGAAATTCTAGGTTAATCCTTTAGAATTATTAGTAAACATTCAATAAATGTTAATGTTATTTGTGAAATGAAGTCTGTGCTAAGTCTGATACACCAAAATCAAAGACTATGATGATGTGACAAAGATGCGACTTGTATCTGGGAATGCCGAAAAAGAAACGGCAAAACAACAAATAAATTGGAGAATCTCGAGGACCACTCCGAAGAGTTCAAATAGAATGTCGGAGGATGGACGAATATTATTGTAAAGAGGGATGATTTGATTTGTTTGACAAGGTGATGAGAGGATGGCAATTAATACGAGGGAATTGGTGAGATTCGTATGTTGGTATGTATGTGTGTACGTCGTCGTAGTAGACCATTCATGGGTTGTTGTGGTATATTCGGAAAGGTGGAATGTGAATGATATGACGGTGTTCCAGGAATCCAAAACAAGCTGAAATTGTATGTAAAAAAAATATATATATAAAAATAGTACGAACCTTTTCTTGACAATCAAGTCTTCAGAGGATAATCTTTTTGATGAATTTGAGAATTCTGTAAACCCGTGCAACTTCCTTTCGTGATTGTATTGTCTTGTTCCTAATAGATACAGGCAATGTAGGACCTGTAGACCTGTAGATCTGACGTTGGAATGGGATCGTGGAAGTATGGGAGCGTCGGATCGTAAAATAAATTACTCGAGGTCGGATATGTTGGGGGGGAGATTGTATGGGAAAATGCGGTAGAGAAAAGAGGATAGAATCTTCAGTCGAATAGGATGGAAAGACTTAGATTGAAAAACAGATCAATGAGTTCGTTGATGATTTCAAAAACTTCTCAAGCCTATTCAAAGAAAAAGGTAGAAGATTGATGGAAAAGAGGTAGAGGTAGAGGTAGAAGTGGTGGTGGTGGTGGAAGAGGTAGATGGAGGGAGAGGAAGGGCAGAATATGATTAGGGTAAGATAAACCTTGGGTCGTTTTGAGGAGGGTACCCGTGGGCCGGCGTATGGATATTCCTTTCGAATCAAAGAAGAAGAAGAAGTTGTGAAATCAATTTTTGTGCGTAACAGTGGAGAAGGAGAATACCGGCTGGGTATCAAAGAGAAGAGAGAGGAAAGAAAAAAAAAAAAAAGAAAAAAGATTAGGTTTAAACCAAGAGGAGAGGATGACAGGGAATATGGATTTCTTTCCTTTCCTTTCCTGTCTTTCTCTCCACTCTCCAAATTCACTAAAAGATTGTGGTCGTGTTCTGGTTCTTGTTTACCTGGTAGGAAGTAGTAGTAGGTAGGTATCTTCAGTCCAGTCCAAATATGAAGAAAGTGGATTTTGGATAGAAGTAGAAGTTACCTCTTCCCAACTATATGTGTAGAGACTCTGGAGAGTGATTGGACCATAGGGATGATTAAAGTGGAGAAACGGGACCGACCTAGGTAATTGTCATTGTAATTGACTATTTTATAATTTATGATTTATGATTTACGATTTATGAATAAAATCAATTCCATGTTGGTAATTAAAACGGGCTGAACCAGGTTTATTATTATTGAGTGGCTCAAAGTGGAGGTGGAGGAATCCCTAGGAGGTGAAAATGGGTGGTGAATTGAGAATTGAGAATTGAGGTGAAGGGTAATTAGTAAGGGTACTAGGTAGTCATTCATTACTCCTGGGGATTTATGAGGAATTGGTTGGTTGACGCTTGACTATGACTTGTGTGATGGAATCAATTATTTCATTTCATATGGATTCATTGGTGGATTGATTGAATTGTACATGTGCTCCATCTGTCCTTGTACTTTACTTCGTAGTTTTTAGTATCGATTGTTGCTTGCTCTTTTGGTATATCATTCCCTAGATAGTACTAAAGAAGTAACTTTTCCTTTGGTGTATTAATTGATTTTCTGGATTTTTTTCACATCACACATCACACAACACACAGAGGACGCAGACTCCGTAAATAAATCATCGGAACTTTGAGGCCCTGGTCAATAACGGTAGAGTATGAATTGGGAGGAAATTACGCTCACTCACATTTCCAACGGTCAACGGTTTTAAATTGGGAGGAGGGAGGGTAAGTTTGGGATGTTAGAACTTAGATCGAAGGGGCATCAAATGAATCAAAGTAACAATAACGATTCAAGGCCAGTCAAGTCAAGTGAAGTGGTAGTGAGCGGTAGTGAGTGGTACTGTGGTGTGGTATTCAAGGGAATGAGGAAGTGAGAATGAGGAAATGAGGAAATGAGGAAATGAGGAAATGAAGATATGAAGATATGAAGATATGAAGATATGAAGATGTGTGAATGAGTAAAATCATGGCAACCCCGAGTTGAATCAGTATCACCCATTCACCCACTCACCCATTCATACTCTGGGTAGTTGATAGGTAATAGGTATCGCGTAGTCTTGTTTGAGGCAAAGTAATAAGCTGCTCATTATCAGGTACCTGGGTGCTCTCGTGCTGATGAGTACCATATTACCATGGTAAGATTGTAGAAAGTCGAGAGTCGAGACATCATGTAGAGAATTAATGAATTACTGAATTGATGAATTGGCTTAATGATCAAGTATCATTGGCTGATTTGATGATATTTGTGGACCAGATCAATTTAATGTTCAATTCTTGATTTTGGTCGGTATCAAGGTTCACATGCCTTGAATCGGATTGATATTGATCAGACTTGCTTGTCCTCACTCGCTCAATGATTGCTCTATCCATCATCCATCTCTACCCTTCAATAACCTTTTATTTCCATTGGTTGAAATGACCAGAGGCAAAAAAAAAAAAGATGTGCCATTGATCGGATCATCGTGTAATGTGTATGATGGTGTTGTGCCCCCTCCCATTCAAGATTTGATACCAAAACTTTTACCTTTTACCTTTTACCTTTTACCATTTATCATTTATGGGTAAATCCAAACTTGTGAAACCATTCCATCTTCTTCCCTCAAGCAACCAATCCTATCGGGAAACTATATCCTAATCCCAAATTTTAACCTTAACCTTGCCCGTCAACTTTATTCATTTTTCCCCTGGTACTGGCTGGCATACTAGAAACGGTACGTACTCTGCACAATGTACCGATAGAGAGACGACGCCGGCCACTTTATTTTATTGTGACCAAGAGATCAACGAACTTGACACTGCCAGCGTGGCCATCAAAAAAAGGATGGGCTCAGCTGCACGCCTACTCACAAACATCTCCATATCACTGGTCCAAATTCAACAATTAACCCCCTCTCAACATTCAAGATGATCCTTATTTTTTATTTGAAGCTTGGAGCTTGGAGCATGGGAACCCGTATGCAGTGCCAGTAGAGATGGAAACAAAAATGTACAAAGTATGCTGCTCATGATGTAGGTAATAATACCTACCAACCACAGTCAAGGGAAGAGAAGAGAAGGCTGGGAAAGCGTAAAACTGATCCGCCATGATTTTGAAGAAAGTCTCACATCCCAAAAATCATCGCTTATATTGAGTCATTCATTGGATTTCTGGGTTTCGTTGGAGACGGATTTCGATCCATTGCCCCAGTTACGTATGGGATGATACATACCTACATACAAGCAAGCAAGCAAGCAAGCAAGCAAGCAAGCCAACCTATTCAGTCTTGACCGATACATACAAAGTAAATGTTTCCAATGATGTTTGACAGATCTCTGCAACCATTCAACGCCATCTCAATTTTCTGAGAATAGTATCATTTTTATTCCGGTACAGTCACTGGTAATATATTGGTAAAGAAACATGGTAGTTTGACTCACCCCCTATTTGATTAATGATTCAATTTATCATTCATCTCCATTCATCTCCATCTATCAATAACAATCACGCGTCGTACGGAGTATCATCTCCATCTAATAAGTACCATCCATATAAAATCACAATAACAACGGAACAACGGTAACATCATTCGCGACAACACTTCCTAGGTACCAGTTGTAATTTCCCATACCAGTATATTTCTAAACTTAGAATAATTGAATGAAGATCATTTGACACTGGCTGACGGGAATGGGAATGAATATGTTATGGAAGAGAAGAAGAAAGAATTATGCAAAATTTTGATTTCCAATCCTCGACTTTCTAGACCCCATGGACGATTCGAAAGATCCATTAATATACGGAGTCGAACTCAGTCGGGAGATGGATCCAACCCTGTTTGTACAAAGTACACAATTTATCAAGATGACATTGACACTCACAGTCATAGTCATAGTCACAGTCTCACACTCACTAACTTTCTCACTACTCCATACTTCATACTATACGGGATACTAAGTTCATAGGCTATTATTGCTTGCGCCTTCTTCCCCCATCCACCCTGAGGAAAAACGGCTTGTTCATACATCCATGTTCACCGAAGCATATCGAATTAGCTCTCTCACCAACCTGCAACAGGAAAATTCAAGTTGGTGGTGGTGTGGAAATTATTTTGTTTTATTTTATTTCATTTTCTTTTATTTAATTCAGAAACTAACAAACCCCCCCCCCCCACCACACAGCACAGCACAGCACAA